GGGCTGCACAATGTGACGCATCAACATATTGTGAAGCAGTGAACTATGAAGGATAATTATACATTTGGGGAAATTATAATAAATCGAATAAAAATACTCAAGACTTGGCCTAAAGGTCTAGATACCAGGCCATAAACTCCAAAAAAAGAAATCTACCGAGAGGCCGGTGACGGCACCTGTCACTGAGAGCACTGTGTCGTCACTGACATTGACGCGTTCATAGACAATGTATGAAAGAATAATTATCACGGTGGCGGTACTGTGTCGGAACTGTGACTTCACTGATATGTGTGAATTAACTTACTTACTGGACTTAATGGATATTCGTGATTATTTTTTAGAGCCCAAAGGCTAACTAACGGGACCCTATTACTAAGCCTCCGCTGTCCGTTCGTCCGTCCGCCCGTCTCTCTGTCAGCGGGCTATATCTCATGATGCGTAATAGGTGGTAGACAGTTGAAATTTTCCCAGAATGTATATTTCTGTTGCCGCTATAACAACAAATAATTAAAAAAAAATTACGTGTATTTCGATGGCACGGAACCCTTCATCTTTTATCTTAAAATTTTGGTTGGAATTTACTTTTAAATGTAGGCGACATTTTTGAAAGGTGAAATAAAATATTTTTCCAATTTAATTATTAACATTGATATAGTGTGTGGCGGAGACTCGTCGCGGGCGACAACAGAACAACAAAACAGTCTTCGTGCGAATACATAGCTCTCCAAGCGTTGACTGATGCAAGACTGATGAACGCATTCACACTGTTACTTTGCCATCTGACGACACCGACAAAACATATCATAATTTTAAATTAAAAATTTTGTACAACAGACTTCAATATAAATTATTAAGAAAAACTCAAAAACTATTAGTCAAACCTTGATCAAATTAATATGGGACTACATGAGAAGCACCAGCTTTCAAATACAAAAAGAATCATCGAAATCAGTTCACCCAGAAAAAAGTTATGAGGTAACACACAAAAAAACATACAGTCGAATTGAGTACCGTCTCCTTTTTGAAGTAGGCAGAAAATATTTAAAAATCCATCAGTGTGGCCCATAAATTAGACAATCAATTTGGCCTCAGTCTGACCAGACTGATGAACTGAACTGATGGCAAACTGAGCATGTTACTTACGTCTAAGATTCTTGAAGCTAAGAAGCTAAAGTTAATTTAAATGACTTGTAACAAATAACTTCACCTTACTCACAACTAGCGACATCTGGTGAGCGTAAAGTAAAGTAAAGCCCTCACTGCATTTTAATTACCATACATATTATAATTATAAACCATACGTGTATATTTACAAGTACAGAGTAATAATATATAAGTCTAGACGGTGACAGTCCATTAACTAGTTTTAATAGGACTTAATCGTTATAGACATTTCTTGATAATATGAAAGACGCAGACACTATGTTAAGGTCGTAATAAGAAGGTCTAGTATTTAAATGTAAATAGTATATTATACTCATTAAATAGACAAACAACTTTGTTCATTGTACAATTTTATCCATACTTCTATACAAATTAATAAAATTAAAGTGTCTCTGTGTAATGTCAAAATAACAGCTTTTTACTAAATGCATAATATGAAATACGGTACTTTTAACAAAAACACAATTTTTAACATTTTTTTCTGTCTATCCGTCTGTCTGTCTGTCTGTTTGTTCCGGCTAATCTCTGAAACGGCTGGACCGATTTTGACGGGACTTTCACTAGCAGATAGCTGATGTTATAAGGAGTAACTTAGCCTACTTTTATTTTAAAAAAATAATTAGGGTCCTGTGCAAAAATATTTAAAACCAATGAAATCCAATCGTAATAAATTATTACACGCGGGCGAATTCGCGGGGAACAGCTAGTACGAAATATACTTAGTACCTAACTTTAAAAACTAGGGAGATATCGCGATGATAACCATCGCCTAACAAATTACGAGCATGACAACAGATAACTTCCGAATGATATCGGAAGCTGACAACTGTGTAGGCGTAGATGCTGTAGTGCCGCTAGTTTACCGTTGACATGTACGCTTATTCGTCTTTCGCATGCCCACTGTAGCGTTGATGCGATAAGATCCGAAGTATAATGCACGCGCAAAAAGTTTATCGAAGTGTTATGACTTCATGCGCCAATAAAAAAAAACTTTAAAAATGACTTTAACTCATTTTTAAAGTTTTCTATGAAGAAAGTTAACTTGGCTAACCCAACTGGGCCGATAAGCGCTAGATGCTGTTGATCGCAGTGAGAGAGTTGATCATCGGAAAACCTTACGTTAGAATGTGGTGTCAGAGAGCTAAAGGGATAACGGGGGCCAATAATTTACCGATCTGCAGTTTTTTTTTATAGAATATGGGTGACAAACGGGCCCCTGATGGTAAGTGGATGCTGTGGCCTATATACATTTACATTTATCCTCTATTAAGAATCAAAATGCAGATACGTTTAACCCTTGAGGACTGAGATGAAATGCCTCGTTTCCAGTAAAAAGGGTCTCCGGTTCTCTACACTCACCATACGAAACAGCAGCATTGAGCTGTTATATTACGCTGGTGTTCTGTGAGAGCGTGGTCCTTCCCAGTTCGAGCGGACCCATTCGTGCTACAACCATAATATAGCTGCAGCGTGGTTCTACCACGTAGGTATATATCGCTAGTTGGAAAGAAAGAAAGAAAGAAAGAACTATTTATTTGATATACACATTTTACACACATTAAAAAAATATTATAAACAAAATCAAGGGGGAAAAATGCATGTATCAGTCTAACACTGTTTACGCATTTACAATTGAGAAGCAGTACATACACAATAATAAAACAAACAAACAAAAAGGTAAAAACGAAAAAAAAATCAATATGAAAATGTGACATCAAATAGGTCTCCAACTCAGCATAATGCTGCAAATACAGCGCTGGTTTTCAGTTGGAGCCTCGTGACTTCACAGACAAGTCGGTGTGTGATCTTCCAACTAAGAGTTATATACGAGTTCATAGTTATCTATTAACAATTACGAGTTAAAAGGTAGTGCTAACATATTATATAACGTATACACACATGCACTGAGACTAAACCTAGGTAACAGGTGTGTTACATTACTATATATTTAAATAATACCTACTTATATACTTATACATACAATATTAACATGATATTTGACTATTCTGACTATTCTATGGGGAAGACAACTTTTACTTTTTTCATAAAATTAGATAATTCAATATTCTGAGTCAAAGAGACACGCCATGTTACGAGACCTGCTGTGGATTTTTAAAGCAAAAAAAAAAGAAAAAAAAAGTAATAAGATTGAAACTAATAAATAATCATTCATGAAATACATAACAGAAACACATTAATAATCAATAATATTCGAACATGAAAAGTGTAGAACAAATATAAATATTGCTATCATCTTTGGTTCCTGCATTCGAGACAGTTATTACGTATTTTGTACTTGTTGTACCAAATAATGCAACTTTAATTTCTTTTTAAAACTACTTAATGTTTTTAGGGAACGAATAGGTGGTGGTAAATCATTCCAACAGTGTGTTGCTGCAAATTTGAAGCTGCCTCGAAATGCAGCAGTACGGTGTCGAGTTGCTACAAGCGAGTGAACGGAACTTGTATTATATTTATTTTGGTCTCGGGCCCATTTCAACTTTTGGAAAAGATATACTGGTCTCTGCTTTATAATTGTCGAGAACAATAGAGTAGCAAGATGTAATTTTCTCCGTGCGCTCATCTTAAGAAGATTGGCGTCATTTAAATAAGGCGTTACATGACTTCGAGGCGGGACAGGAAAACAAAAGCGAGTACACGCATTTTGCACCCGCTGTATAAGCTTCTCTGTTCTTCTCAACAGTCGTGGTCCATAGGCTGCATCTGCATAGTTTAATTTGGACAGTATTAATGATTCACACAATCGTATCCGCATATCTACACTGAGGTACTGCCGAACTTGGTACAGTAATTTCAAACGATAAAAACAACTGCGCACTCCCTCAAGTACATGACTTTCAAAGTGCATACTACAATCAAATATTACACCTAAATTTCGTGCTTCTGAGACTTGCTGTATAGGTTCATTGTCAATTAGAACTACTGGCTGAAACAGTGATATATTTTGAATATTTTTATTTGTTCCTAGTATTAAAAGTTTTGACTTTTGTGGATTTAGCACTAGAGAATTTTGCTTGGACCATAACAAAATACGTTTCAGATCTTCATTCAATGATTTGACAGCAGATTCACAATCTCGAGGGTAAAAAGATTTATATATTTGTAAGTCATCTGCGTATAAATGATACTCACATTCTTTTATACAGTTAATGATGTCTGAACTATATAAAATAAATAAAATAGGACCTAGGATAGACCCCTGTGGGACACCGCGAGTAACTACGTATGGATCAGACATAAGTGTTGTGCCATCATGATTCGTTATATTAACGTATTGCAATAACTATGAAACTAAGGTAAAGTTATAGTGTCACTATGTGAAACTTTCCAATTCGGATAAAATTATATCAGTTTTTAGTGTAAGTATATTTATATGTGTTATTTATGTGTTTTTATGTGTATATACCCAAATTAATTTTCAGTGGTTGCTCTTCTAATTTTTCTTTTTTTATTCTTATACTTTAAGGAATAATATGTAAAAACCAAACTAAGGATTAGTTTAGTTTATACATTCTAAACCTACTTAATATGAAATATAACTAATATTTCAGAAAGAAAGCTTAAACTTTATATTGTCCTATCAGAATAACTTTCTCTCAATGAAATCTATCAAAAATTTCACCACATTCCAAAATAGCGCCGCCCTGACGACAGTAAAAGTTGTGGATCGTCACAAAAGTCACAAAACAAGACCAATAAAAAAACAAAGTGTCGTTAAGTTCCGAGATCTATCGCAATGTTGTTATCGATGGCTCTTGGAACTTATTGTCGAACATCAATTTTATGTTTTTTTTAATGGTTCTATTATTTTCTAGTGATCGGGACAGCGCTCACAGACATAGCCAGCGAATGTAACCTGGCTGGGTTTTATATGGAGCTGGGCTGCACGCCGATACCCAATGCTGACAACAGCACCAAGTGCCCCGACGCCTTTACGTGTCCAGACTTACATCCGGACCCTAGCATGTGCTATTACAGGTATGTGGTTCCTTAGTGAGTAAAAAAACTTGTTATATTATATTTTATGGGGGGTGGCTCGTCGATTACCTGGGTCCTATGTCCAAAGTTCAAATCCTACCCGGTGCTAAAATTTCAACTCTAACACGAATTAAAGGTTACTATGGGATAGCCCTCGTCTAGTATTAAGAGGCAAGAGTGAATGTATATAAAGATAATGAAAATATAATTATTGTAGTATAATATATAGGACTATATTTGGTGCACTCCACCGTAAACACTCATAAAATACCAGCGTAAAATAGCAACTTAATGCTTCTGTGTTTCGTATGGTGAGTGCAGAGAATCAGAGACCCTTTTCACTGAAAACGAGGCATTCTATCTTAGTCCTCAGGGGTGACAACGCATCTGCATTTTGAATCTTAGTCGAGGTTAAATTTAGATGTCTATGGGCCACAGTATCCATTTACCTTCAGATGACCTTGTGCTCGTTTGTCTCCCTTATTCTATATATAAAAAAATAACATGACGCGACGTAGTCATAGAGTTATTCGATTGCCTGTTAACAAGAAAACTAAAATGAAAATATTTTGCATCACTGCACATTACATTCGACGCTCAACAAGGAGGTTGACACAATACAAGTGACCTCCGTTGAGCCGTTTTTCGGAAACACTGCGACCTTACTTTGCCTGCCTTGGTGATAACCCTTGTATGTATTTGAAAATGATTTGAAATGATGAAGTCTTGTACTCGATTTTAAAATGGACCATGAAAACCACTGCACATTACATTCGACGCTCAACAAGGAGGTTGACACAATACAAGTGACCTCCGTTGAGCCGTTTTTCGGAAACACTGCTACCTTACTTTGCCTGCCTTGGTGATAACCCTTTTATCTATTTGAAAATGATTTGAAATGATGAAGTCTTGTACTCGATTTTAAAATGGACCATGAAAACCACTGCACATTACATTCGACGCTCAACAAGGAGGTTGACACAATACAAGTGACCTCCGTTGAGCCGTTTTTCGGAAACTCCGCGACCTTACTTTGCCTGCCTTGATGACAACCTTTTTATGTATTTGACTAGCAAAAACGTTAAAAAGTGCAATAATGTTTAACAAAAATATTTATCCACAATATATTGTTTTGTTTTTCCTTAAGATTTATTTATAAACGCTTAAGTTTATTAAATTAATGCAACTAAAACAAATATAAGAAATATTTTTAAAGCACAGCCTTCACTATCCCACATTAGAGTTTTCTTCTGTATCGTGGAAGCTTTGTACACACATAAAGAGATGCACATGGATAAAATAAACCCAGACCTGGAACATTTTTTTTATTAACCCATTTTTTTACTTTTTTACACAGCTGATAATATTAAAAACAGATTGAGGTCATAAAATTCGAAAAAATGTCTCGGTCCCCTCTACAAAGCCCGCCAAAAGTCGAGAATTAAAAATAGATAACATAAATATATTATTAAATAAAACGTATTATGAAAATATATTACAATATATTCTACTATCCGATAGAAAGCCTATATTGTAACTAATCATCAGTACTCTTAAAGATATTTAAAAAAATGATACTATATTTGTTAAATTTAAAAAATATAGGGACTTTATACGCTGGAGATCACTAGATTTTACTCGTATCTTTAGGATCCCACAAACTCCAGTCAGATACAAAGTGGTAAAAGGTATTTTACGTTACTATTATACGAAGAAGTGCTACGTTAAAATATTACAGTGTATTTTCAGGGGTGTCCCATATAGAGATCGCACTATGATTCCGCAGAATATGATCAAGAACCCTTGTTCCCTCGCGTGCCAATGCAGTGTGTCCGGCAAGCCGAGGTTCGACTGCGCCGCCGTTGACTGTGTGGAGACGTTCGACACGGATCTACAACAGCAATGTATCAATACATACGAGTTAGGCTCATGTTGCAGTTCGGGAACTGTGTGTGGTAAGTAATATTTTTAAGAGCCCTCTAAGGGTGCGTACAGATTAAGTAACATGTTGTATAACTTTTGTTTTATAACACATCCACATTCAGTGGATGGAATAATTTTTGGTGTGTCATTTTAATGTTATCTTATTGATTTATTATAATCTATTTTGATATATTTTTCATTATTTATGAAACTTAGTGTTGAAATAAGTACATATAGATATTTTAATTATTACGCAGTAATCGATTGTTAATAATCGATTATTAAAGTTGGTAAAAAATTACTTCTAGTATTTGTCGTTTTAGCAGAAGTAGCTCTACACATAGCAATACACATTCTGTGACAATTTCAAATGTCTACCAATTACGGATCATGACAGACAGACGGTCAGGTTTACTTATGTATATTCAGGCAGGTTATGTATGTGTAGGTATGTAGTTTATTTGACAAATGAAAAATCTGCCCTATCTATACTACATACTACAAATAAATAAAATTGATGTGTCTGTTTGTAATGTCTAAATAACAGCTTTTTACTAAGTGCATATGAAAGTATTTACGGTACTTATAACAAAAACAATTTTTAAAATTTTTGTCTGTCTGTCTGTTTGTTCCGGCTAATTTCCGAAATGGCTGGACCGATTTTGACGGGACTTTCACTGGCAGATATCTGATACTCGTATTATAAGCAGTAACTTAGGATACTTTTATTTTAGAAAAAGAATTAGGGTACCGCGCAAAAAATTAAAACCCATGAAATTGTAGTAAATTCGCCACGCAGGCGAAGTCGCGAGGGACAGCTAGTAGAGAATAAAATAATTTTCACATAATAACTTCAGAAGTCGGTCGGCACTGCTGCTTTGCAGCAGAAATATGTAAAAGGGATGTACCACGGAGAAACCAGCGTGAAATAGCAGCTTAACGCTGCTGTGTTTCGTGTGGTGAGTGTAGAAAACCGGAGACCCTTTTTACTGGCAAAGAGGCATTCCATCTTAGTCCTCACGGGTGACAACGCATCTGCATCTTGAGTCTTTATTGAGGATAGATGTAGATGTCTATGGGTCACAGTAACCACTTACCATCAGGTGGACTGTGTGCTCGTTTGTCACCCGATCCTATAAAAAAAAAGTTGTATTTGCTTCGTGGGATGTAGCAAAGGAGTCTCGTCTCCTAGTTTTCTACGCAAAATAAGATCATAAATCCGTGATACTTGTCCAGTCGTGGACTGTTATCTATACATCTATACAAATAAATAAAATTGAAGTGTCTGTTTGTAATATCAAAATAACAGCTTTTTACTAAATACATATGAAAGTATATACGGTACTTAAAACAAAAACACAATTTTTAAAAATTTTTTTGTCCGTCTGTCTGTCTGTTTGTTCTGTTTGTTCCGGCTGATCTCCGAAGTGGCTGGACCGGTTTTGACTGGACTTTTACTGGCAGATAGCTGATGTTATAAGGAGTAACTTACCCTAAGCTGTTCCCCGTGACTTCTTCCGCGTGTAATTTAGGGTTTTAACTATTTTGCGTGGAACCCTAATGGGTTCCACGAAAATAGTTAAAACCCTAAATAATCTAAACCCTAAATAATAAAACCCTAATAAACTAAGGTTATTTTTTATTTTAGAAAAAGAATTATCTTTTTCTAAAATAAAAATAACCTTAGTTACTCCTTACAACATCAGCTATCTGCCGGTGAAAGTCCCATCTAAATCGGTACAGTAAATTCGGAGAAAATACCCGGAACAAACAGACACACAGACAGACAAAAATTCAAAAAAATGTGTTTTGTGATAAGTACCGTATATACTTTCATATGCATACTACGCATTTAGTAAAAAGCTGTTATTATTACATTACAAACAAACACTTCAATTTTATTTATTTGTGTATGAGAAGAGTGATAAATAAACACATGCCGAGACGGTCAGCTTTTACGTTAGGTTATGTCATAGATGTAATCTATGAGTTATGTACACCTTTATCCATCTTCTATGAAGGATCAAGGCACATATTATGTGGGTAGACATAGATTAATGATAAGTCAGAGCGCGCGATGACTTATCATTAATCTCTGTGGGTAGAATTAAAATTTCGTAATCTATATTTGGGTCTTTTTAGCACGCTGATTGCAGCTATCTCACCTAGAGTAGGTATTGTACTACAATGAGGGCCACGCCATTTTCTGGCACCACTTGATTTCATAGTGGGGAAGTTAATTGGTTCGATAAATGTAAAGGATAACGTTTCTTTCTGCACTACATATAAGCTATATTTTATATTAATAAGTTTAAAAATAAACAAATCATACCACAGATATTCATAAAAGTAAATTAAAAAAAAAAGTTAAACACGGGCAAGAAGTTAAAGAGCAAACCACTGAGGCAATGTTTTGTGTATTAATATAATACTGTAGAAACTGATAACCTTCTATTAAAAACTGACATCTCAATTAAATGACATTGTGTAACAAAAAACTTTACCTCAATGTCAACTAGCGACATCTGGTGAGCAGAAAATTATTAGCCTTCATTGCCAGGTTATCGATCAAGTCATTAATTATTATGAGTATAACAATAGCATTCCGTTATGGACATGCGAGACATATGGCAGTCTACGAATGATCTATTGTTCGTCTATAAATGCATTCAACTTGTCAATAGTCAATAGCGACGTGTTACTGATATGTTCCGCTATTTCCTGATTTTTATTGGCGGTGTAGAGTTTTGTTTTTCATTTTCTACTTTTTATGGAAATTGTCTATATTATTTATGTCGGTTTCAATGGATTACTGAACCGACAGCAGAAATGTATTAAAAGTAAATTTATAGCATCTCTGCTTGGCACAGGCCTCTTATGATTCAAGTTATGAAGCAATTATATGGTTTTTAGACGGCTCCGTGGCGCAGTGGCTTAGTAATGGGTTGCAGCGCTAAGGGCCGTGGGTTCGAATCCCGTACGGAACAAATATTTGTATGGCCTACAGATAATTGTTCCGGGTCTGGATGAATGTCCTTGTGAAATTTATGTTTGTCAAACTGCACACACGATACAGGAAATCCTGGTGTGGAGGCAACGTTATTTTAAAAAGAAAAAAAAATTGCCGGCCAAGCGGTTTCAATGGCGTGGCGTGTTACCGAACTTTAGATACCTTCGAGATATGCCACTCAAAATTGTAATTAACAATTCCATTGGTTCCGGTCGACAGTACACGATTCGAACTCGAATCGTGTACTGTAGAAATTAGCGGCGAGCGCAGTCAAAGACAGTTCAGTAAAAAAAACAACATATTCACGCAGCTTAAAATGTAATTGTTTTTCATATGGCTATGCCAAGTTCAAAGTCAAAAGTTATAGGTCAATTCAGGCTTTTCTAAAGCTAATAAGAACATCATAAATCGGTTTGAAAAACAAGACCTTCTCAAAGATACGAGTAAATCGGTGAGAAATTCTGGGGTCTTTTTAGTTCGAAGTTTATGATTTCACATGTTACAACTTATAATAAAAATTTATCAACACCCAGGAAACTTGCGAGCGCAGTGTGCAGTGTGCATTGTTCTGTATGCAGTGTACAGTGCAGACCGAGGACAATGATGTGTGGAGTTATTTTCACACATCATTGTCCCTGATATTTCCATTTATATTTCTCCATTACAGCCTATTAAAAGTGCACTGCTTAACATATGTCTCCTCCATAGTTAATCTCATCCAAGTGTATTCATTGACTCACTGCACTGTAATGAGGCATTCCATCTCATCTTCATCGTTTAGTTCTCAGGTGTGATTCTTTTTTGGATTGTTAACAAAGAATCCAAAAATGCAGTCTTAGTTAATCCCATTTCGACAAAGAACACACTTAATACGGTGTTTTGAAATTACATACATACATAATGCTTATTTTATATATATAATATATTATACGTAGTAGGTAATAGGCTTCTACTATACCTATTTTTACATACAATGCAAGGAGTGTAAGTGGTAGTGTCCGAAATTGGGCCCTACTCAGCGTACATATAGTATTTAACCCACCGAGCCTTATATTATATCGGCTGCTCCACGTTTCAGCCGGCTAAACCTGAGTGTTTCCGTACATAGGCTTTTAGCCGTAACATAAACACAACTGCTGTAACATTATAAACGTGGTAGAACCATGCTGCATCTTACTGAATAGTTGTAGCACGAATGGGTCGTCTCGACCGGGGAAGGACCAAGCCCTCACAGAATACCACATAGCAGCTGAATGTTGCTATGTTGCTGTGTTTAATGTTGCGAAACATCGTATGGTGAGTGTAGAGAACCGGAGACTCTTTTTACTGGAAAACAGGCATTCTATCTTAGTCCTCACGGGAGACAACGCATCTGTAGTTTGATTCGTAATCGAGGATAGATGTAGATGTCTATGGGCCACAGCAAGTACTTACCATCAGGCGGACTGTGTGCTCGTTTGTCACCCTTATCGTTTAAAAAAAACATATGAAAGAAAGAAATACTTTATTTGGCACTGACCACTGACATACAGCATTACAGCATTATACAAATGTATAACAAAGTAGAAATTGTAATCAATTTGGCTTTGTACGTCGTCGAAGGTGTGAATTGTGGCGAAACGACAACGCTGATTTTCTGCAATGTTCAAAAAAAACCTAGGAGAATACAGCTCGTAGAGTCGATAAGGTACCTAGTGAAATTTTATACTGAAAGAAAAGAAATCAAGCATTCTTTACTCGGAGCTATATCCACCGAGCCAGAAATACTTGGCCGTTAGACATATTCATACATTCATGAGCACAAAGAGAAATAAAAAAAAAATTGCAAACTTTTTTTACAATTACAATTTTAAGATGTGAAAAAAAAGCAAATGATGTATATGAACAATTAACAACATAATATCAAACTCTATTTACAGGTAAAGATGCGATAGCGAGCTTGAAAACCTGCGAAGTGGACGGACAAACCTACAGAGAGGGTGAATCGTTTGAGCCCAAAAACAGCCGTAAAACTTGTGTCTGCACTGCGCAGTGGAACGGGACCCTGGACGACCCGAAAAACTGCCGGGATATCAACTGCGGTATCGAGATACATTACCAGGACAAGTTGTTCCAGAACTGCGCGCCCATCTTCTTGGGGAGCGACGCCTTTTGTCCAATCGCTTTTACGTGCCGTGAGTTTTTTTATCATGTTAAAATTCTCGTGTCGCGGTGTTTGTTACCAAACTCCTGCGAAACGGCTGAATCGATTTGTATGAAGTTTTGTGTGCATATCGGGTAGTTTTGAGAATCGGCCAACGTCTATTTCTCAAACCCCTGAATGATAAGGGTGACCCACCCCTAAATATTTTATTTTTTATGACGCATTTTTTATTTTTATTTTATTATGATTTAGCATTGAAAAATACATAACACTTCAAATTTTCACCCTTCTACGATCAACCCCTGTTTTTTAATCGCAATTTTTAAAACTAAATAAATATTTCCTAGAAATAATGTATATGGCAAAACAACGTTTGCGGGGTCAGCTAGCTGAATTTCTCCTACAGCGAAATCTTTTATGGGGACCACTTTTGCTAGTGACAAGAAATTGCACATTAGTTTTCCAGGAAGGACACATTGTTATAATGAGTCATTTGACTGTCTCGTTGGTCTAGCGATTGCTGATCATGAGTTCCCGGGTTCGAATCTCGAGTCGGGCCAGAAGTCAGTTATTGAGTTTTCTGTCAAGAAATACTTAGTAGCAGCCCGGAGTCAAGAAGTTGGCGGTGTATCACCCCCGTGCCTCGAAAAGCACGTACCTAAAGCCGCTTGTACTACTTCTGATCTCTCTCCGATCGGCCCATTGGACCTTTTTTTAAATAGTATAAGTATGACAAACGAGCACACAGTCAGGTAAGTGGTTGCTGCGGCCCATAAACATCTACATTTATCCTCCATTACAAATCAAAACGTAGATGCGTTGTCACCCGTGAGGACTAAGATGGAATGCATCATTACTAGTAAAAAGGGTGAGGGAATAGAGAGTGCACCTGTGCTTGAGCAAACAATCGAGCACTATAATCCTATGCTGCGCAGATGGTTAGTCTCCGCTGTGTCCGAAGTTTGGTCTGGAGGACATTAAGATGAGCCTTAATCGAGAGTGTAAATGTCTGAGTCACAGTATTCACTTATATCATCAGGTGGACTGTGTGCACGAGTATCACGTTTATTTGTATAATGAACGATACATACAAAAGCATCTGGTGACGGTGGTGTAAGATAATTGTTTTTTTTTTTTTAGAGAATAAGACTGACAACCGAGCACACAGTCCACCTGATGATAATTAAAAATTTAAAGTAGAATAACTCAAAAATTATTTGTCAGAACACGATCAAATTTATAAGGGACCACATGAGAAGCACTAGCTTTCAAATAAAAAAAGAATCATCGAAATCGGGTAAAAGACATAAAAAAGAACATACAGTCGAATTGAGTATCTCCTCCTTTTTAATGAAAATGGATGTTGTGGCGCGTGAAAATCTACATCTGTCATCGATTAAAAATCAAACTTCACATACGTTGTCAACCCTGTGGACTAAGATGAAATGCCTCGTTTCCAGTAAAAAGGGTTCTCTACACTTACCATACGAAACACAACAGCATTGAGCTGTAACTTGTTATTTTACGCTCGTATTCTGTGAGAGTGGTTCTTCCCCTGTCGAGCCGATCCATTAGTGTTATAACCATTATATAAGTAGCTATTGCATAGCTCTACTACGTATTATTGTGGGTAGATGGCACCAGTTAATAAATCACTACACCACATAACTTGAACTTGCCGTGTAGTGAAGGCGTAAGAATCGACAGGCGAGTCCACAGGGGAAGTGAAACGGAGATGGGCAGCCGTATAATATTCTAAAAAAAACCTTGATAAAAATCCCGCCTATGTTCAAGAGTAGACTCTTGATAGGCTCTAATGATAGACTAAATGAATGAATGAATGAATACTGTTAACTTGAGATATATTCCTTCGTAAAATTAACCAATAAAAATAATTTAGTTGAAATACCGTCGAACTGAAATTAGGTATTCATATTTAATAGTTTTTTTTTAATGTGTTTCAGCAACAAATACGTCAAAAGTGATCCGCGGGCTCAATTTACGTGCAGTGAGTGCGGAATGTGTTTTCGGGAACGTCACTCTATCGGTTGGAGACGAGGTGACAGTTGACGAGAAATGTACCAAATGTAAGTGCAATGTACCACCCTTCGTATCGTGCACCAAGAAGAACAGCTGCAATGAATAGTTTCACCTAATTCTTAAGGGAAAAGTTTATGTGTGTGTGAAAGGACCGAAATATGTTTTATTAAACATTACGTTATAAAAATGTTAAGTCTTCAATAAGTTTAATTGTGAAACTGTTTTGTTATTTGGAAGTAAAGACTAGAAATTGGTTGGGGGGTGACTCGAACTTTAGGCCTAGTCAGTTTGAATAGCCTATCATTAGAGGATGTCATGGGGGTCATGGTTGAATAGGGGCAAAATGTTCTCATTAAACTCCTGGAGGTCAAAATGGCCAAAAACCAAAAAAAAATTCTTATTTCGGCTATAACTCCGCTTCCTTCGGAGGTGCTTACACAGTCTTTACTTCCCGCATCCCACTAGTTAAATAAGTATAGGAATGTTAAAAGAAACAAGTTCAGACCAACAAAAAAGATGATGGAGCGCTGCGTACACTTTAAGTTTCTGCGTATTGTTAGTAACTATTAGTTTATCTGTGGTATTATAAGAACATACGCACTTACGCAAACATATCTAAAATCTTTTGGCAGCAGTGAACTTTTACAGGCTGTTTAAAAAAAAAGTTGTGTGCCTGGAATGCGTGTTAAAAAGTATTGTTACGGTATCACTTCAAAAATTTACGCAGTGCTTTGTCTAGTTTTCTTCTTTTTTGGTCTGAGTTACAAGACAACAAATTATATGAAAAGGGTGTAAAATGAAAAAATACATTTTGAATTAAAATTTTTAATAAATTTATTTTATTTAAAAAAGGTCCTTAATACTATATTGATTTACATTGTTTTATTACATTGTAATAATGATTAATTAAAAATCCTTTAAGTTTTTTTTATTAAAGAGTACATAATATTATGTTACACGAAAACATTTTTTCAAAAATATAGGAATCGAAAAAAAGCCCCTACATAATTATATAAAGTTAGGTTTTATTTTATGTATAATAAGTACTTAATAATACGTTTCTATTAGGTTATATTTAAATTGTAATAATTATTAATAAACATTACAAAGCTACACAAAATAAATGTATAAACTTAAAACTATTAGGGATATTTACAATTATGTACAAAGCACACAGCCTTAAGAGGAATTTTGTAAATTATGTTTAGCTAACTTTGCTTAAACTTACATAAATTTTGTGACGACTTCTTATCTATTTACGTACTTAATAATTAATAAAGCAATTGTTAAATGCATTTTAAATGTTCTATATTTAATAATAATCTCTTGAACACATTTTATCATTGTTAAAGTTATTTAAAAATTAAGTTACAAAAATAAAATTTGTAGATCTTATACATAACTTTTATTTATTTACCTAGGAACGTTAAGTGTATTGGCAGTATTTTGACTATTCATAAATGTTATAATATAATAAAGCTATATATAGAGCTATGGGTTTATTAAAACATTCTTATAGTAACTAAAATAAGAAAATGAGCAATAACCCATTGAGTCGCTTTTCTATAGAATAAAATAATGTCTCAACACTATTCATGTGCTGAACAATGCCACAGATATTTACTCCGTGGCTTTTTATAATATTTTGGTAGGTACAATAGTCAGTACGAATCTTGAGACCGTTTATGTGAATCTGAGGGGATTCGTGGTCGGCGTTGTTATGACGTTTGACGTATCAGCATTGATAAGACGAAGTTTTTTTAGCTACTTATCTTATTTCATCCTACTAAATGTTAACATAAAGAAAAAGCATAAGTATAGCATAACATACAGCGAGTTGATTCTAACCGACAACGATTCCCACCAGAATTACACATTCACACAACTGGACTTCGAATACGCACGTTATTGGCACCAATACCGACTACCGAACAAATACCTATTGAACCAATTGGTCATCAGGAATGGTATCAACAACCCGTGCTTAACCTCATATCAACAAACGGGCCTAAAATTTTCGTCACAAATTTTCATGAACAATTTCTCACTGATAATAAAACTATGCAAAAGATTTTACTTTTCCGCTAGAGCAAAATTTCAATATTTAGGTACAATGCTCTTTAAATTATGATAAAAATGGCAATTAATTATTAGTAGGAAAAGGTCGAGGAGTTCTCCGTCTAATCCGAGGAGATTTTAACTGAAGATCTCAAAATTGTGCCAAGTATTGTACGTGTACCTTGTACTAAACGTTCTGATTTTGGCGCGAAAATTAAAAAAACTCAATGCTTATTAGAATTATTGGTTTTGATTCACAAAAGCCAAGAAACTAGTGTCATTTTATTTATTTTATCTTTATTGAATCTTACAAAAATAGTGCAAGATCATAAATGCTAAAAGCATTATTTGCCAGTCAACGAAGAAAAAAAATTAGCCGCATGTATAAAAAAAAAACTGGTAACTTCAATATTTCACATTAAGAAAAATATTTTCGTTAAACCAAAGACATTTCGTTAAAACAACAACTTTGTCTATAAACGGAAATTGAATGTTATAGTAGCTTAGTAATTTTTAGAATATAAGAGATCAGTATCAGTAGTGCAACCTGGACAGTATTTCGGTTTTACCAAACATCTTCAAATCTCAAGTCTTTCTTTCTTTTTGGTATTTGTTTGTAGTTAACTAAAGCAAGCTAGTCCCAGTTCCACACGGAACATCTGGTCCTGCCTGCCAACGTCTCTGACAGCAACGTCTAGAAGCGGCAGTCGGCCTGGCTTGTCCGTTTCGTATTGTACTATAGTCTTCGCCCACTCATGTTTCTTGTACTAATAACGGAAAAATATAATTAATTAGTTTCACATTTAGGATTTAGAAGTTTTATTTTATAATAAAAGTAGTGTCGCCTATTAGCTGAGCGAGCACTGCTATGTTCCAGTCTGAGGAGTTTAGAGACCTAGGCCCGTATTAATAAACGTTACTCAGCTCAAGTACATGACTTGAGTACAATATTGAGGTTATGATCTTATTAATAAACATATCTCAAGATGCGGTTTAGGTTTACGATATCAGCTGAGTGCCACATTGATTAATAAACGAAACTCAATTCTCAAGTGTGTGTACTTGAGTGCAAGTCACAGAACAGTATTCCTAAGTACAGCGTTTTGAGATACTGTTTTTATGTGTTTATTAATTAGCCACGATCTTGAGATGCTGATATCGTAATGAGGGCGTATCAAATGATTACGCACTTGAGTTCGTCGTTGAGTACCGTTTATTAATACTGGCCTAGGTCCTTTTGTCACCTCTGTGGACTAAGATGGAATGCCTCACAGCCTGTTATTATACTGGCTCTCTATATATACACTATAGAGCGGAACACAGCGATGGAAGCACTGCTATTTAGCGGTGGAAATAGGTACCTACCCAGACAGATTTCTAGTTAGAAAAAGCATCCTATCACCTAGTATGTTCATAATTTTGTAACGAAGTTCCTTATCGCACGGTACGAATTTGGCAGATGGGGGCTAGGTGAGAAAAAGTGTAAGATTTTTCCGTCACGATCCCCTTTCTATTGTGAGAGCGATATAGAGTAATATCCATCTCCCTCGCACTTTTTCTTATCTTGCCATGAAAGAAATATTATTTTAAATGATGCTTCATTTTAAGAAACGCTAGTATTTCATTTATTTGTATTTGTTGATCAATAATATAAGAAATTTATCAATAATAATATACTACGAAAGGAACTTCGTTCTAACCGAGTGTTCCACGCCACTCACGCATGTTTTTTTTGCTATGCATCTGTTAATATATAAAAATTTAAGCGATTTACCTGACATTCATCCAGCAAAGCCTTGTACCGTAGTCTGTTGTTAGCTTTTGGTAGAATCTCCGCGTCATTGTAGGCCAACAGCTTGAGACCATGCCTGTAGTTCTTAGAGGCAGGGTCGAAGTAACCAACGGTATTACGACAGTGCAAGGTCACATTCTGTATAGCCTTTGCAGACATCAGCTGCAAGTACGTTAGCTGGCTGTGCTCTGCCTTGTAGGATATCTAAAAAAGTCATTATATTTATTGATATTGAATTCGATATTTTAAATATATCTACATATTATATTAAATTCTTTCACTGTGTCAAATTATTGTTATATTAAATTTTTTCTTATCCGAAGAAATAGAGGTTGTGTGCAAAAAGATGTAAAAATATGAATATAATCAATTGTGAACAATGACGCTTATATTTATCAGTCCTCGTTAAGTAAATTAGTCAAAAAATACGTGGATGTCAACAAACAACGTATGGCAGTACCACGTTACTTAATTAATCTAAACCACTTTGTTCACATAAAGATTTATGTTCTTGGAGGTCTAATTAATAGTAGGAGTCAAAAAAAGAAGGAGGTAGGAGGTAGTACCACTAGATGAACAAGGCTGTCGATGTACTGTCTTACGAAATACAATTGATTCCTCAAAGAGAGAAAGAGAGGAACAGTGAACTCTGGTTTCTGTTATACTACGAAATGTTATGCAATTACCGTGAATCCGTCTTCCATCTCACTCAACCACACTTCACGTTCTTTTCCCTTATACTCGATGTCTTGGGACTGCATCGGCTTGGGGAAGATGCAGCTGGCGCCGGTGGACATGTCACAGTGGACTAATATGGCGTCATTCATATCGCCGCCATTAGGGTCAATCCAGTATTGTCCTGCAAATATATAATCCAATGAAACAGTCAAACAAAATATCTAATATACTCGTAGATATTGACTTGATCGATTTAGTTTCTTGTAAGATCATGATAGGATTTTACCATCCAGTGGTGGTGTACGAATATCCACTATCACAAATCAGCCCGTGGCTGTCGTAAGATGAAACAGACGGAAAACAAAAAACAAGAGATGGGTAGCAGCTAGTGTTCCCGACCCTCCCGAATTGCCTGGGAGACTCCGGTAATAATGATTAATCTCCCGACCTCCCGGGGTGCAATAATTTCTCCGGTTTTTTCTAAAAATTATACGCATCCATCGCTCGCACGTGTCGCTACTCACTCGCTTTGCGGTCACACACAACACCACGCGCCGCTGTCGGTGTAAATCTGTTCGTCTCACCAGCCGGTAATTTCTCAACTTCACAAATATTAGATGCGGCTCGAAAGCAAAATAAATAAAAATTAACAAATAATTTAAATTTTCTTTCACCCCCCCCCCCCCTCCCCCCCTTCCTTACGTCCCTTACTCGCTTTCATAAAATTCTCCCGTATTAATCCTTTCAAGAGTTGGTAACCCTAGCAGCAGCATCTTCCTAATAACGATTAAAAATAAAAAACTGCAGTTGCCAACCCGCTTGCCAAGCCTGGCGACTATGGCTAATATCCCTCCTATGAGGCAATCTATGTGGGAGGCTTATGTTCAGCTCTGGATTTTAGTAGGCTGTAACGGTTCATGAAAGAATAAGATACAGTATGAATCTCTTGATTTAAGTATTACTCAGATTTTAGTTTTGACTGTAACTTGATTCAATATCTGAGACAGCATAATTGTTACAGTACAATCAGTATTGTACAAGCAATGTGGCTGGCAGAATTTTTTTGTCATTATGTATCAATATCTGAGTCAGAACCTGGGCGATCGAGCTTCACTTGGCGTAGGAAAAATTTATGAAATTTTCAGGTTTGATACCAGTTTAGATAAACTTAGGAAGTATAACATTAAGGCTGGGTGTTCATGTTTTTGTTTGTTTAAAATATGGTTTTTGATAACCAAATTATTACATTTAGAATCTGAAAATATATATATATTTTATATACATTCTTTCTCCTTACGAAGTACCCGGTTAATACACACGATACAATACAACTTATTCGATCGAACAAAATACCGAACTACGTTCGATTAGCAGTTTTTTTACAAGTAAAATTTCATTTTAAACAAGTGCTAATACTTCCTTTTTTCTATAAAAAATATCAATTTATAGGTAATTCGTGTTGCTGGACGTTGCCGAGGTGCGCGCTTTTCTACTCCTACGTAAATAATATTTCGGAAATAAAATTAACTGTAAATAACCATAGTTTTATGGCTCTCTATATAAACACCATAGAGCGGAACACAGTAATGGAAGCATTGTTATTTAGCGGCGGAAATAGGTGCCTACCAGACAGATTTCTAGTCAGAAAAAGAATCCTATCACCTAGTATGTTCATAAGTTTGGAACGACTCATAGACTATATTTTGGGTCAACTCATAGACTATAGTTAAGCTTTTGTCTGTGTTTATTTCTCACTGTGTATATATTTGTTTATAACTTTATAAACAATATTTTTATGATTATTTTGTACAAATCACGATGATATGCGCGGCCCAACTCGAGCTTTGCGACGACCGCATGTAAATACCTAATGCGCTTGGAACACCCAGCCTTAAATACAAAATTTCTATGAGTTGACTGGTAGTAAATGTTTGTAAGCATAAAGCCAAACTTTTCAAAGCCTTTTTAAAAATAAATAAATAAAACGTCATTCAAATATAATCGTTTCCGATAAACCAGTTAGGTACATATATACAAGAATTGCTTACTTAAAGTATAGGATGTAAGAACTTACCACTCTTGAAGTCCGGATGGTGGTATTTAATATCTCCGCAAGTCTTCGCTGGAGCATCTTTGGACCCGTCAGGCTTCAAGAATTTGTTAAGAGATACTTTGAGCTGTTCATACGCTTTCATCACTATCTTCTTGCGTTCTGCTGGTGTCATGTCCTCTTTAAAGAATCGCGGTGGTGTGATGTTTGGATCATCGCCTAATGGATCGGGTCCTTTGATCGAACCTAAAAATGTTAGATCATTTATTTTTCGGGTTAGAGTTTCTTAAGTTGTGTTAGACGTACAGTTATATGTATGTATAGTTGTGTGAGAGCATTTCCTTGGTGCTGCCTATATGCGGCGAAGGTGAAACACCATGGGGTTTTAGCCGGTGCGAGTCCAACACAACCCGTTCTTGTACTCAAGTGGCGGATATACGGAGGCATTTATTTCCACATGAAAAAAGACGTGCCACACTTAGTGCTCAACAAAGCATTATAAGAAGAAATGGAATCTGCACTTTTATTTTATTTATATTTTTTAATTGAATGTGCATCTAGAAGATCAACGTTCTAGGCGTCTTGAATTTCGTAACTGTGCGATATTCCGATTCGGAATTTCCAACGCAGCAAGTCCATAAAAAACAATGACCCATCACACACGTACACGTAGTTTACCGCAACGGAATCCCGAAACGGAATTCTGTATCTATGTGGCGAGTCTTGCTGCTGTTTTACGCTGATATTCTGTGAGAGCGTGGTCCTTTCTCGGTCGAGCCGACTTATTCGTTCAACAACCATAATATATCTGCATGACTACCCCGCATATTATTTATTCAAGTTAAAAATAATCAATAACAAAATTATGTTGTTTTATTTTGGAATTTTACTTTAATAAAAGATCTGTAAATTACTCAAATTTATAGATCTTTCGACTTATACACTACATCCAAAATAGCTTTATGGAAGAAAAATTACCTTGTTGAAGCATAGCAGCAATAGCAGCAGCATCGTATGCCAAACCCTCTCCAGGTAAGCCTGGAGGTCCCGGAGGACCAGCTGGCCCCGGAGGTCCGTGCCGGCCTGATTCACCAGGCGGACCTCGACCACCAGGTGGTCCTATTGGACCTTGTGGACCCGGACTGCCATCGCGACCAGGGGTGCCTGGAATTTTAAATTTCAAAAAGGTTAAAATAAATATCTCGAGATACAATAATACCAAAGATGGTCGGATGGTTCTAAAGATGGTCGGAAATTTGCGTGCGTTTGTCGTTCGGTATTCGTCGTCACAAATCAAATGAGCGTAAATACATTCCGGTGTTTATTTCAAGTATCTCAATAAATTTCCTCGCCATGGTTTCCTATATTAACATATACCTATAGTCGTGAAGCATTTAGTACCGCGTGACGATTATGTTAAATCCTCTCTTCTATGGTAGCGGTATGGTAGGTGGATAATTTACAATAATTTACAAAAAAAAAAACGTGTATAGCGATTGTTTGGTTACCTCTTGGTCCAACATCTCCATCTTTGCCAGGCGGTCCTATTGGTCCAGGTAAGCCCCTTTCTCCTGGTCTACCTGGTGCACCGACCATTCCGGGCAATCCAGGTAATCCTGCATGCCCCTTAGCACCGTCAACGCCAGCTTCACCGCGTTCACCCTTAGCACCGTCCAAACCTGGTGGTCCTTGTTTGCCAGACGGACCTTGGGGACCGTCAACTCCTTGTGGTCCCGGTTCACCTCTTAATCCTCTTTCGCCAGCCTGTCCAGGAGGCCCTGATGGACCAGGTGGACCCTAGTAATGAAAATTAAACTAAAGTCATTATTTTTCTATTATTTTAGACAGAATAACGATTGATCAATCTACGTTATCAGCTTAGCCTCGCTAATATTTTGTGAACCCTGTAAGTGTCATGACGCCCGCAGGGGGTTAACAGCGCATGCATGCCCGTGGTCAGCCGATCCCGTGTGCCCATTTCTCAATTAAACACGACCTTGTGTTTAATCTATGTATGTTACATAGATTAAAGACTTACATAGATTAAAGATAAGGCCGTAATGTAACGTTTTGAAACGTTTTCGAATTGAACATTTTCGATTGTTTAACTCGTTTTTATTATGTCTCGTAAAAGGAGGTAGATATTAAAAAGTTTCTTGTGTGAAAAACGTGTATTTTTAATGGGGTGTAATTTTTTAATCTGTTTTGATATAATGTTGTATTGTAAAGCAAATAAAATAAATACCGTTTAATATAATGGGTTAATTTCACAATCCTTACACTTTATGAACAAGAAATTGGCAAGATTACGTCACGCAATATTGAAATGAGATTGATAATATTATAAAAATAGAATTTAATATTTATAAAGAAAAATCAAATATTTTAATTCTTACCGAATCGATGCGTATAAGTTTTATATATAGCTGGCATACAAAAGTAAAAAGATACCATTGTTTACATTTTTTTTTTATAGGAATAGGGTGACAAACGAGCACACAGTCCACCTGATGGTAAGTGGTTGCTGTGACCCATAGACATCTACATTTATCCTCGTTTGCGAATCAAAATGCAGATACGTTGTCACTCGTGAGGACTAAGTTGGAATGCCTCTTTTCCAGTAAAAAGGGTCTACGTTTCTCTACACTCACCATACGAAACACAGCAGTGTTAAACTGCTATTTTACGCTGGTATTCTGTGATAGCGTGGTCCTTCCCCGGTTGAGCCGACCCATTCGTGCTACAACTATACTACTAATGTAGCTGCAGCATGGTTCTACCATTTGAAAAACACATTAGCGTCTACCTATATCGCGCGACCTCCCGAACGCCCCCGGACACTTGAAGCGTAAAAACATTATCGGTCGGGCACATGAAGGGGTAGTGGCGGTGTGAGAATATCTAATACACGATCCAATACCTCATATCATCCCGTGAATGACGTAAGATCCGTTTAGGCTACAGGCGTCCTAAAGTAATAGACATTCTTAACCTACATATACACAAGCCGCCACAAAACATTACCTTCCTTTTAGGTCAAAAAAGAAAGCGTGTGAGGGTTTAATTATTACTTTTGAAATGAAATGAAGTGAAGTGAAATGAAATAACATTTAATTTCAGAAATATGATAGGTGATGAGTTGTTTGTGTTGAAATACTGAGATTAAGATATGCTTTAAGAATAATATTTGCTATAAATAATTGTACCTGCATGCCCGGTGGACCAGCTGGTCCCGATGCACCAGGTTGTCCGATGGGACCCTTATCGCCCGGTCTACCAGGTAATCCTGGTTGGCCAAGTTTTCCTGGTCGACCCTCTGGTCCAGGTTCTCCCATTGGTCCAGGTGGTCCTTGTGCTCCGGTTGGTCCAATTGGCCCGGGAGCTCCGTCTGCACCAGGTTTGCCTGGAGCCCCACTCTCACCCTAAAATTTTTAATTAAAATATTAGAAATTAATATTTTGTAAGACTAATTCTTATTTGTTTGTTTGATAGTTTTTAATATAAGAATATACAAGTAACAATGTCTTTATAAATAAAAAATGTATTTAACTGGCCAACTTAACCACTAGTATGTTAATTCTTCTTTACGTACCTGTATTCCACGCAGTCCTTGTGGTCCAGGTGGCCCTACCATACCAGGCATTCCATTTGGTCCTCTCTCTCCAGCGGGCCCCGGTGGGCCGACAGGTCCTTGAGGTCCAATATCACCTTCACTGCCTCTCTCTCCTTTTGGTCCTTCAGCTCCTGGAGCACCGGTTAAGCCTATAGGGCCAGGTGGACCAGGTCTGCCAGACTCCCCCGATGCGCCTTTAGCCCCAGGCATTCCAGGTGCTCCTGCTGGCCCTGTACTTCCTTGAGGACCCTGCAAAAATACATTTTATGTGAGTATCAATAAGACACTTCTGCTTCCGTTTTGTTTCTTTATATTATTTTTACGCAAATCCCCCCAAAATGCATCCTACTAGGATACTACTAGAAAAGGTAAAACTGAGAATCTATTATATAAAAATTAATATTTGTTTGTTCGTATTTTATGCGCCGCTATACCGTTCATCAGACTGCGGCTAAACTTTGTCAACTTATTGCATACACTTGCGCGAACGTTAGAGGCATAGTATAATTAAGTTATACTAGGTGGTGCGCGTGTCGTACCGACAATTTATTTGAGAGTTATAGATCATTCAATTTCAATTATAAAAATATTATTGTCATAGATTATTGTAATAATAGTTGATTTATTTATTTATTTCATGTTGATTGTAAAACACATGACTAAGATGTTCTACACTTCCTACTAGTCTACTCCGGCAGAAATAGAAAAATAAATCATCACCTGTGGACCTAATTCTCCCGGCCTTCCAGGCAAACCTGCGTGACCAATGTCCCCTTTGACTCCTTGTTCCCCTCGAGCACCCTTCCCGCCTGGCTGTCCAGCAGGACCTCTCTGACCAGGCTCACCCGGAATTCCTATAAAAAATATTGATAAAAATAAATTATATTATGTAAATTATAGCAAGATTATTTATTGGATCATTAATTTAAACCATATTTAAGTAATTACTCCATCCTTCCATACACATATTACATACTAACTATACGAAAAACAACAGCATTGAGCTGTTATTTCACGCAGGTAATCTGAAGTAGTGATGGGCCGGCCATATAGCTCGAAGAACTGACAACCGATGAAAAAGATAGGATCTCGAATGGCAGTCTCATAACGGTAGGTGAAGTGTGAGGCGGCACACCCACTAGATGTAGTGACGACTGGGTAAAAAATGTAGCAAGTCGATAGATGCAGGTGGCACAGTATCGTACTTTGTGGATTCCTTGCCTTGTGAAGGGCTGTAATGATCTCAGTCGAGCCAACGCATTTATGCTGCAATCACAATATAGCTGCAACGTTCTACTGATCATGAGATACAGCCCGCTGACAGATAGACGGACGGATAGTGGAGGCTTAGTAATAGGGTCCCGTTGGTTACCATTTGGGTACGGAACCCTAAAAACATACTAATTTCAATAGAGAAGATGGATGGGTGCTGCTATCTGGGGACGTCATACATCCCCCTCCCCACACCCTGACCATAGGTTCCCTTAAAACAGCCGAAACGTCGGGAATTAAAATAACCCTTTCAGAACGACCTATAAAAGTAAAAAAAAAAACATAAGCCTCTCCAACAAATTGCCCCATAGATTCCAGGCGGGTTAGCAACCGCTTTTTTATTATTTTGAGTTGTCATCAGGAAGATGCTGCTGGCCATCTCCTGTTTCAGTTTCCCTCTGTCGCCTTTTACGACAACCACGGGACGATATGAAGTAGTACATGTACACTGTCACTACATGGAGGAAGTCATTATACATCGTTTTTGAATTTGCGGTAACATACAATAATAATTTCAAAATTATTTGATTACCTGGGCTGCCTGGCGATCCTTGTTGACCCTTTGCTCCCATATAACCTCTATCTCCCTTCAATCCCGGCATGCCCGTAAGACCAGGAGGTCCAGGAAGGCCAGAAGAACCTTGTAATCCTGGTTGACCCCGTTCACCCTGAGAACCAGGTGCCCCTGGCTCCCCAGGTACACCCGCAGTACCCGGTTCGCCCCTTTCACCTGGTTCACCTGGGTGGCCTGGAGAGCCAACTGGTCCCTGAGGACCTTGTTCCCCTTGTCGCCCTTGAAAAAGAAGGTAAAACAAAACGATGTTATTTAACAATAATTATGCTAATATTCGTACTTTATGATGCTTTATTAATTTGGGTAAATAAAAATATAACATTTCTAAAGATAATTTAGGTAAGCTATAGAATGTTATAATCTTAGCATTTCAAAGCTTTTTATTTTATAAAAACTTCATCCTTTAGGAATACCACCATTAGGAGATAATTTTTTTCTTAAAATTTATATGGGACCACTCCTGAAATATAACTTTTTCAATCAAAGAAAAATAATTAAAAACGGTTCAGTCGTTTCTAGAAGTTTCGGTGCAGATGAATAAAAAAAAATCTGATCTCTGAATATTGATAAATATAAAATCTTCTCGTTTTTTTATACTCAATTAAAAATGTATGTTACTATAATTTTATCCTCTATTATTGTCATTGTCGTTAAATTAGTAAAACACCAATATTCTTAAAGAGTATTTTAAAGCATTACTAAACACCACAGAAACTTTTAAGTTTGCGAAATATTTCGAGGATATTAGAATTTCGTAACAAAACTTACCAGGAGGACCATCGTTTCCAGTCGGGCCAGATGCGCCTCTCTCCCCTTTCTCTCCTGGTAGACCGGTCATGCCGCGAGGGCCAGGAAGTCCCATAGCACCGAGTTGGCCGGGGTGTCCTTTGCTGCCTTTTGGTCCTTCAGGCCCCTGATTAATAAACAAGAACGCAACTTTGGTCTGACGTCGTAAGAAGGTAATTCAGGTTCGTAAAATAGAGATATTGCTTACTTCTACAGTCTCTGTACCGCTATAATATTTTTCACTATACCCTATGTTTTTATTTTTATTTTAAATAATAAAACGAGAGAATACTGTGGCCTACATCTATCCACGATTAACACGTTCGCTGCGGTATCGGGTTGAAAATATCCGATGCACATCCAGCTTACGGTGCGGCGCTAAAAATGTTCACCGTTCTGCTCGTGCTGTAACTATTTGAACAGGTTTCGTAATAAGTAGGAGAGAGACAATTATATTATTCAAATTGTCTTGTTAAATTTATTACATAGGCACTAAAAAGATCCATTTGATCTTTCCAACCTGATACAGACTGTAAATGAAAAATTTTCATCTAAGTCTAAGAGATTCGATGCCCGATGACCCGATAACCGCACTAGAATTATTGCTTAGTTGACCTAGTGCAGTGCTCAATGACGGTGTTATAATAAAGTTGTAATATTTTGTTCGAACTTTTGTTCTTTTGTTTTTTGAATCGAAATTTTGTTATAAACTATAGAATGAAGCGATCAAGACGAATGTTTACGAACTGTAAAAATGACTAGAAAAAAAAAGAAGATTCCAAAGACATAGCAACAGGAACGAAACTTCGTACCTACAGAAAAATTTACCAACGGAGTGGAAGTGTAAGTCCCACTGTTTATAACAAGTCCATCGACTGGTCGTACGTTGCAAGTATGTATTTCAAAATTCAGTTGAACCGCTATTTGTACCCACCCGATCCGAACCAACGATGCCACCCAATCCGTACCAACGATGTCACCTAATCCTCCATCACCAAAACTCAAAATATTAGAAGATATTGTGATTAAGCTCGCTTGCCTTGATAACGACAATGATAGCGACTGTGATATTTTCCCTGTCACTCATAAGAAATTGAAGTTAAATCCTCAAAATTTGAGTCGCAAGGACATGATAAATTACGCGGAGAGAAAAAGTTTTCATTGCACTCATACGATAGCGACAACTTGAACTTCGACGACAATAAAAAAATAAATCCTCCGTTGATGGCAATTCCTGAATATTTTCTACACCTAAAAGCAAAAAAAGCCGATAAAGCACACGAGCAATACAATGCTTTAGGTCTTGACAACGAAATAAACAATACATCATCGGTTTTAACAAGTAGATATGGATCTTTTAGCGATATTTACACATCAGACATAATTTCAATTAACTCATTATTTAATGAAGAACAGCTTTACGGGTTCTTATCATCGCCTCTGTCATCTCCACCAAAAACAGACGATTCTAATGTAGTTAAAACGATGACATCAAATGATACTTGTTCATCTTTTATACAAACTTTAATTTCAACCATTAATACAATAAACAAAATTCAAACGCGAGCATGTTCTGATGATAGTGATTTATATTTAAATTATATTCCTAGTAGTAAAGATTCAGATATAAATGATGAAAACTTAAATGAACACTTCAATTCATTGGCAATTGCATGTAATCTAGATGATGAGTGGGAAGATAAAACAGAAATTTCTCTAAGTTTTGAAGAATATTATGGTAGCATAGAAACATATTTACCTTCTGACATCAGTGAACCTGACGAATATTATAAATTGTTTCCAACAGATGAAATTGTTGATAAGATGGTGGTTGAGACTAATAAATTTGCTGATACATATACAGAGTCCAACTTTATTACAGACAAATCACGATGCAAACTATGGAAACCAACAAATCGCGACGAAATGCATAAGTTTTTAGGTATAATGCTGGTTATGGGTTTAAACAAAGTACCATATATAAACGACTATTGGTAAAAAAAGAAAATTTACGGAAAAGAATATATTGCGTCATTGATTAGCAGAGATAGGTTTTTAATTAAATTAAAATACTGGCATTTCAGTGACAGCAATAATACTGGCACCGATAAGATTTATAAAATAGGGAAAGCGTACGATATGCTAATAAGTCAATTTAAAATAAATTTAAGACCAGGCAAAGTTATGGTCATTGATGAAACCATGGTGCCATGGCGGGGCAGGTTAATGTTTTGCCGATATACTCGTATTAAAAACAAAAGTCATAAGTACGGTGTGAAATTATACAAAGCTAACACCGGAGTGGTATACTTTCAACTTGATTATATACACTGGCAAAGAGGATGGTAAGCGAAAATCGAATCATGCCGGGAATGTAGTTCTGAAATTGATAAAATTCTTCGAAGATGAGGTACGAATAGTGGTAGGTGACAATTTCTACTCGTCGATTGGGCTTTCGGAGACTTTGATCAAGAAGAAGACATTTATTTGCGGTACTCTGCGTTCCAATAGAAAGGGGTTACCAAAATCTGTTATAAGTAGAAAGTTGAAGAAAGATCGGAAAAATGAGTGCTAAAGGAATTCGCATACTAAAATGGTTTGATAAACGGCCTGTCTTGATGTTGAGTACGTGTAAAAATCATGATGCTTCTTTAAAAAGTACTGGAAAAAATATAGAGATACAGACGATGACATATTGAAACCTGAATGCGTACTGAGTAACAATAGTTATAAAAAAGGAATTGACTATCGCGTTCAAATGTCTGCTTATTATTCTACTTTAAAACGAGGCATTGAGTGGTACATAAAAGTCATGATAAAGCTACTATTTGGTACAGCTTTAACAAATGCTTGGATCGTTTATAGCATAAAAAATAAAAAAATAAATAAAAATGAATTTAATGTTATAGAAAAGCTCACGGAGAAAACTACTAACGAAAAACATTATTCAAATATTGTGTCATTTTCCTGATTTTGAGATACATTTTACTTTGTTTGTTCGGTATCGATGTTTTATTTGTCCATCCTGATACATCCCTGATTTTTATCGATAAATATTACCGATCAGTGCGTTTACCGGGTAGAAAAGATCCGACACTTAAAACTGTTAATTACACAAAATGTACTAATCACATCTACTTATGAACTCAACTTACACTCTACTTTGTTGATAATACATTTAAAAAATAAAATTGAAATAAATATATTTTATATATAAATAATAATATTTTTACAATAGTAAGTTCAACGGATCTTTTCGACCTGATAACGCACTTCAAAAAAGTCAAGCATAGGATCATAAGGACCCGATGCAGCTGTAAATTGAGTCAGGCAAAAATGTAACGGCAGTGAACGTGTTAAAAGTAAAATGTAGATTTGTTATCACCCCTGAGGTCTAAGACGGAATACCTTGTTACCAGTAAAACGGAACTTCGTTTCTCTACACTCACTATGCAAAACTTAGCAGCAATATTGCTATTTCACGCTGATATTCTAGAACATGGTCCTTCGCCGGCCGAGCCGACTCATTCGTGCTGCTGCAGTACCCTGTGAAGTGTATAGCTTTCCATAGTATATTACACAAGACCTTGACAAGGCGACAGTACATCCCAACTGTGCAAAAGTATAAAAAGTACGGAGTGTACAAAAATTGTTGACATGGTCAAAGCTATTATCGGGATAGGACCCAAGGGACCGAAACATGTGGAAAACTTACAAGTACGATTCCCATACCCCGATGCCGGTTATATTAAAAGAACGAAGCAAAATTAGAATACAGTTTTGGAAGTTAGAAGCACGGATACATATGTACACAATATATTCAGAACTTGCGTGCAACACTAGTGGGGTTTCGAATGAGTCACTAAATTCTTTATTTTAAAAACTAACTTTTGTTTTTCGTATTACGTCCCGTTTACAGTGCGGTAGTTATAGTTAGTTTATGATCCAATTATTAATAACAGTCATTATAATTTGTAGGCACTATTTATAACTTTGAGCTATCAATCCAGTTCTTGATATTTAAATAAAGAAGCATGCTTGTGAATTTATTAGGAAGAATTTAATATTCAAGTTACTTAATGGGGAAAAAGTAGAATCAATTCCTTAAAAAATAATAACTATATTCTTTATTGTACCTACACACTGTAAGTTGATAACAACTATTAAATATTCAAATGAGATGTACAAAGGTGAGATTAATCCTAATAAGAGTTCTCTTCCAGCAAACCTTTTGGGAAAGAGAAATATTTTTATATATAAAGCAAGTAAGTAGTAAATAGTAGCAACTACATCTGTATTTTCAGTAGTAATTACTTATTCATTCAATAATACAGTGCCTTCTAAAGTTTAATTTAAAAGTTAAATTTCACTCACCGGTGGTCCATCGGACCCTTGCGCGCCAGATTCACCCTTTTCTCCCGGTGTTCCAGCCTGACCAGGTAAGCCACGTTCGCCAGTGAAACCTCTTTCCCCTCGCGGTCCTGAAGGACCGGGTGGTCCAGCTGGTCCAGCAACACCAGGTTCCCCTTCCTTTCCTGGTGACCCAGGCAATCCTGCTGCTCCAGGCATTCCCTACATGCATAATCAATTATTTATAAAAGGTTTAAGGTTACTACAGTTATTGCGAAATATAAAAAATATCAACCGGAAATCCAGTAGGGCCAGGTGGACCCTGAGGCCCCCTCTCTCCAGCAGGACCAGATGGTCCTTGTGGTCCTTGAATTCCTGGACTTCCGTCTCGTCCTGCGTCACCTTTCGGCCCTTGCTGTCCTTGTTGTCCCGGCTCTCCGTCTTTGCCTGGTTCGCCCTAAAATTATTAATATTTATTAAAATTCTCACGAAATAACTTATCTTCTTAAGAATTGTAAAAAATAAGGTATTTACTTGTAAGCCTCTTTCTCCTGGACTTCCCATAAGTCCGGGAGGTCCTTGAATACCCTGTGATCCTTGTTCACCAGGCCTGCCATCAGCTCCAGGAATTCCTCTTTCTCCAGGCGGTCCAGATTTCCCAGTCATGCCAGGTCTTCCAACAAGTCCTCTCGGACCTTGCAGGCCCTGGGGTCCAGGTCTGCCAGCGTCACCGGTGCTCCCTTTCGGTCCGGGTAATCCTACACTACCTTTTTCGCCAGCTTGACCTTTCGGTCCTATTGGGCCGTCTATTCCAGGCAATCCTCTCATTCCAGGTAAACCTCTGTCTCCTTGAGGACCAATATTACCAGCAGGGCCTCTTAGTCCTCTTTTACCGCGTTTTCCTTCTGGTCCTATGGTACCGGGGAGACCGCGGGGCCCGGGAGCGCCAGACTCTCCCCTAATACCAGCATCACCTTTTGCACCCCTTTCTCCTGGTTGACCCTGAAAAATAGATCATTTGTATCATGAGAGCGATATTAATTGAGTAGCCAGTTGTGATCGCTAAAACGCTTTTAAATAAGGATGCTTTTTACTATGTAACGAAATATTTTAATGTAATTTTCACCAACTTGTAGACGACCGATTGACTTGAAAATTTGCACTATAATAATCACAGAGTACTTTTTATATACTGAAAATAATAATTTAATAACTATGACCCAGTATTCGCACTAGGATCATCACAGATAATTTATCAATGCGTGTTGTTTGTTTTCTTAAACTCTAATATTATCTTTATCTATATAAATAAAATGATAAAGGTTTGCAGTTGTGCGCGCATCACGGAAAAACTTTTGGATAGATTTCAATTAGGTTTTCTAAGTTTTATTTCTCAGACACTTGGCCCTTATCTAAAAAAAAAAAATATTGCGATATCTTTATTTAATTAAAAGTTATTAAAGTTTTTTAAAATTTTAAGAATCAACGATTTTGTAACCAAAGTATATTTTTGCTTTCAATCTTTTCAATGTTTTTCCCTTCGCACATACGAAAACTTTTTTATATATCAAACAATGCGGACGAAGTCACGGGTGTCAGATAAATTTAAATAAAACTAAGTGACAAGGGCACTTACAGTCCATCTGATGAGCTACTGTAGTCCATTGACACAGAAGGCTTCTGATGCGTTGTCATCTTTGAGAAGAAAGATGGCATGCGTCTAATTTATACTGGCTCTCTATATCCTTCATACCGGAACAAGCAGTGCAAACACTGCTTGCTATTTGACGTCAGAAATAGGTAAGAGGATGGTATCTACCAGGCCGGTTTACCAGTCAAAAGATGAGTCCTACCATCAATTTAAGAGACCTTCAATAAAATAAAATTTAAGATACCTTCAAAAAATAAAAAAAAGGATTAAAGGATTATAAATTTGAAAAAGAAAGAAAAAAGAGAAGAAGAAAGAGATTCTTACACCACTTCGCCCGCGTGCAATTTATTACTATTGGATTACAGGGGTTTTAAGTTTTTTTTTGCGCGGAAGCCTTTTTTTCCTTAAATAAAAGTAACTTATGTTACTCCTTATAACATGAGCTATCTGCCGGTGATAGTCCCGTCAATATCGGTCCAGCGGTTTCGGAGATTAGCCGGAACAAACAGACAGACAGACAAAAATTTTAAAATTGTTTTTTTGTTATTATTACCGTACATACTTTCATATGCATTTAGTAAAAAGCTGTTATTTTTGACATTACAAAGATACACTTCAACTTTATTTATTTGTATACATATGAACATTAAGAAGTATTTCTAGGCCTTTGCCTCTATCATCACTGAAGATTTGTTTTCTTCAAATTTTTTAAGGTAATAATAATGTTGCAATGCTCTAATGATATTAGCGTCACGCGCGTAAGTAGATACTAGATTTCTATAAGCGACCGTTGAACTTATAGCATGTTATTGTTGAGAACAAAGTGTGGAATATTATATAATAGGATCGTATGTCGCTTTCAGCTTTGTATCGTTTCTAACATCGTCTAATTACAATACGTGGTTTATTGATCGTCTCAGGTTTAATATAAGGTTTAGCCTGTGCTCCACAGTTTTTGTGAAAGAATTGTTGTAGTAATAGTTTTTCACTAGCGAATCTCGAATCTTTTTATAAATGCTATAAGAAATCATAAAATGAATACTAAAAATCTTACCGGCATTCCTTTAGCTCCGGGGATGCCTGGATCGCCAGCGATGCCAGGAATACCCCTGGGTCCAGGAAAACCTTGCGGTCCAGTAGCACCAGTTTGACCTTGAACACCCTTTTCACCCGGAGTACCATCTCTTCCCGCTAAACCAGGGGCTCCCACTTCACCGGGTTGCCCCGGTCGGCCTGCTTCGCCTCTTGGTCCTTGAAGACCTTGACTTCCTTTGGGTCCGACTGCACCCTGTTCGCCTTTTATGCCTGGTGCTCCCGGAAAGCCCGGTGACCCAGGTTTGCCCACGTTACCCTTCGAAACGAAATGGTAAATTTTATTTGAATATATTATTAGTAACATGATCTAAATTCTATTTTTATAGTTTTACTAGCTGTTCCCCGCGACTTTGCCCGCGTGTAATTTAGGGTTTAAATTTTTTAGCGAGGAACCCTAATTATTTTTCTAAAATAAAAGTAGCCTAAGTTACTCCTTATGACATCAGCTATATATATATATAAAATCGGTTCAGCCGTTTCGGAGTTTAGCTGGAACAAACAGACAGACAGACGGACAGACGGAGAGACAGACAAAAATTTTAAAAAGTGTATTTTTGATATAAGTACTGTTTATATTTTCATATGCATTTAGTAAATCGTTGTAATTTTGATATTACAAACAGACACTTCAATTTTATTTATTTGTATAGATTAGTGTGGAGTGGAGTATTCATGAATACCGATCACATTTCTTTTTTATAAAATTTAAGTGAAAAACAAACTCACAGTTCTTATGTTGGGTAAGAGGCTATTGCAGTCCAGGAATACCTTCATCCAACTTCAAAGAAGGTTACAAATGTGCTGTCATTTCCGAGGAGCAATATGGAATGTCTCACAGCGTATAATTACTCTCTGGTTCTCTACACCATTCGGACAGGAGCTGTTTTTTGTTGTTTTGCGGCAGAGAAAGAGGGCGATGACCTACCTAGATGGACGCCCAGGCAGAAACTACTAACAGAATGATACTACATATTATAACCACAGATACCTCTGATAGACGTCTAACCTCTGTAGGGCTTATCAAATGTCACCTAAAGTTTAAAATGCTCTCTTCACTTAAGCCATATCATTTCTACTGATTCTGAAAATATTCCTGATATATTTTTTGTTTTAAAATAAATTACCATTAATCCTGGTGGTCCAGGCGCTCCGTCAACACCTCGCACCCCTGGTGGTCCTGGAGGGCCCTCACGTCCTCGTTCCCCACGGGGACCAATAGGACCCTATTAAAAATGAGAATTATATTAAATTAAACTATAAAAAATAAGAATTATTGTCATTGCTCATGGGGGGTATATTGCCATAGTTGCCACGCTTGGCGAGCGGGTTGGCAACCGCAGTTTTTATTGTTAATTTGGCTATTATCAGGAAGATGCTGCTGCCCATCTCCTGCCTGTTTCCCTTTGTCGCCTTTTACGACACCCACGGGAAGATATGGGGTAGTGGATATTCTTAACCGCCACTACACGGCTTGCTACGAACACGGGTGCTAAGAATCTCCGGTGGAGGTTCGGTTGCCACCTACGACGACTCGACCTGGCAACATACAACGCACGCACCCTGAGGACTGACGAGAAGATTGTGGAGCTGGAAGAAGAGATAGACAAGTTACGCTGGCATATTATAGGATTATCCGAAGTCCGAAGAGAGGGGGAGGACACGGTAATCCTCGAATCCGGCAACTTGCTCTATTACCGGGAGGGCGACCATCTGTCCCAAGGAGGTGTCGGATTTATCGTCCACAAGTCTCTCGTTAACAACGTTGTAAAGATTGAGAGTGTGTCGACGAGGGTTGCGTACCTTATACTCAGAATCACCAAACGGTATTCGCTGAAGGTCATACAGGTTTACGCACCAACCTCGGCACACCCCGATCAGGAGGTGGAGGAAATGTATGAGGATATATCTAGAGCCATGCATTCCTCCAAAACCCAATATACGGTGTTAATGGGAGACTTCAATGCAAAACTAGGCACAAGAGAGAACGGTGAGCTGAAAGTAGGGAAATTTGGAATAGGGCAACGGAACCCAAGGGGCCAGCAGTTGGCTGACTTCATGGAGAAAGAGGGACTCTTTATGATGAACTCTTTCTTCCAGAAGCGGCCCCACAGGAAGTGGACCTGGTCGAGCCCCGACGGTTCGACAAAAAATGAGATTGACTTCATTATGACGACCAGACGACAACTGTTCAGTGATGTCTCAGTGATCGCGAGGGTGAAAACCGGCAGCGATCACCGAATGGTTAGAGGCACACTGAACCTAAACGTTAAGTTGGAGAGGTCTCGTCTAATGAAGTCAACGCTCCGTCCCCCTCGTGCTCTAATCCAAAGTCCCGAAACCTTTCAGCTCGAGTTACAAAACCGTTTTCAGTGCCTAGAAGACTGCAATGAAGTGGACGATTTGAATGACAAGCTCGTGGAAACTGTCCATGCGGTCGGAGCTAAGTTCTGCAAGACCCGCCGCAGAAGAACACAAAAACTCTCCAATCACACTCTTAATCTCATGGCTGTTAGACGGGAGATGAAGCTACATTCTTCAACAGATTTAACAGCATACAGGCAACTGAACAGACAGATCTCCAAATGCATGCGGCGGGACTTACGCAACTTCAATACAGCTAGTACTGAAGAAGCGATCGAGCGGAACCAAGGCTCCAAAGTCTTTGCCAGAGATCTGTCTGCCAGAAAGCGCCAACTGTCAAAGCTGAAGACAGAATGTGGCAGCATCGTTTCCGGGGCACCTGAGATTTTGAGTGAGATTGAGAGGTTCTATGGGCAGCTGTACACGTCATCGTTGGAGCCGCACGCAAGTGTGAGTAACGATCCAAGAGCGAGTCTTATCCGACATTATTCCGATGATATCCCGGACGTCAGTCTGAGCGAGATTAGAATGGCTCTCCAGCACCTTAAAAACGGCAAGGCCCCAGGCGAGGATGGAATTACAGCGGAGCTTCTGAAAGCGGGTGGAAAACCGGTACTTGAAGTCCTTCAGAAGCTCTTTAATTCCGTCCTCCATGGTGGCATTACACCGGAGGCGTGGAGCAGAAGTGCGGTGGTCTTGTTCTTCAAGAAAGGCGACAACGCTCTCTTGAAGAATTACAGACCGATTTCCCTTCTGAGCCGCGTCTACGTGCTGTTTTCGAGAGTCATTACGAATCGTCTCGCGCGCAGATTTGACGACTTCCAGCCTCCCGAACAAGCCGGTTTCCGAAAAGGCTTTAGCACCATAGACCACATACATACCCTTCGGCAAATTGTACAGAAGTCCGAGGAGTACAATTTGCCACTATGTCTGGCGTATGTGGACTATGAGAAAGCCTTTGATTCCGTCGAAATTTGGGCGGTGCTGCAGTCCCTTCAGCGATGCCAAGTTGACTGTCGGTATATCGAAGTGTTGAAGCGCTTGTACAGTAGGGCTACGATGGCTATCCGAGTACAGAACCAGAGTACGAAACCTATCCAATTGCAGAGAGGTGTAAGACAGGGTGACGTCATATCCCCGAAACTCTTTACCGCTGCATTGGAAGATGTTTTCAAGCTTCTGGACTGGAAAGGATACGGTATCAACATCAATGGCGAGTACATCACTCACCTTCGATTTGCCGACGATATAGTCCTTATGGCAGAATCGCTGGAGGACCTAAGCACTATGCTCAATGACCTCAATAGTGTTTCCCAACGGATAGGTCTTAAGATGAACATGGACAAAACAAAGATCATGTTTAATGTCCATGTCACACCTATGCCGGTAGTTGTTGGGAACACTAAGCTCGAAGTTGTTGACGAGTATGTTTACCTGGGACAAATAGTCCGACTAGGTAAGTCCAACTTCGACCGAGAGGTCAATCGACGGATTCAACTCGGTTGGGCAGCGTTCGGGAAATTACGGCACATCTTCTCGTCAGGTATACCTCAAAACTTGAAAACGAGACTGTACACCCAGTGCGTGTTGCCAGTGATGACATACGGAACTGAGACGTGGTCCTTCACTGCTGGCCGGATGAGGAAGCTCAAGGTCGCTCAGCGAGCTATGGAGAGGGCTATGCTCGGAGTTTCTCTGCGTGATAAACTCAGAAATGAGGATATCCGCAGTAGAACTAGAGTGACCGACATAGCCCAACGGATTAGTAAGCTGAAGTGGCAATGGGCCGGCCATATAGCTCGAAGAACCGACAACCGATGGGGAAGAAAGGTTCTCGAGTGGCAGCCTCGTACCGGCAGGCGAAGTGTAGGGCGTCCCCCCACTAGATGGAGTGACGACCTGGTAAGATATGCAGGAAGTCGATGGATGCAGGTGGCTCAGGACCGTGCTTTGTGGCATTCTTTGGGGGAGGCCTATGTTCAGCAGTGGACTTGTGAAGGGCTGTAATGATGATGATGAAACTATAAAAAAATAATTACAGTACCGTTACCTACAAAAATATCGTAAACATATAATAAACAATTCTCACTTACCGCTGGTCCCGGAGGCCCCATTTGTCCCGGTAATCCAGTTGGTCCTCTTTCTCCTGGCAAACCTTGTTCGCCTTTCGCTCCGTCCTTTCCATCAAACCCGCGATGTCCCTTTAGACCTTGTATTCCTGGTATACCTGGCGCACCCCTTGGTCCTGGTTGCCCAGCAGCCCCTGCTGGTCCCGGTTCGCCATCTTCACCCGGTGAACCCTGGTAAAGGAGTTTAAATTATCATAAACTTATTGTGTCAAAAATAAAGTTTTTATTTTTATTCGGTTTCATTGTCGATAAAAAGTCTAATGACAAAAAAAGGTTAGGGTACTAATGATAATATCCTTTACGATTTTGTTTAAGGCAGCAATGTTAATATTTTTATAGGTATTATATTTTTTATATTGTCATAGTATTTTTTATAGCAATGTTAATAAATATTGTCTGTGTATTATTATTATATTTTTTAATTTGCGCTTTAAATTCGGAGTCAAAATAAGCACTGTTAAGAGTACTTACGTCTTTTCCTGGCAGGCCTTGCGGTCCTCTCTCTCCTGGTGGTCCTTGAGGCCCTGGTAGACCGGGTTCGCCAGGTTCACCGCGTGGTCCTTGGAAACCTTGAGGTCCCGGAGGACCTTGAGGGCCTGCAAATAATTTTATTTAGTAATTATATTCATGGCACAAAATAGAAATATAATCAGCTAATATACGTATAGGTAATAATATATTTTATATTGTAAAGGAGTAAAGCATGATGACGAGCATTTGTGCGTAGGTTTATAAGGTGTGCCAGGTTCGTGCTAAATCGAAGTTCATAATCTCTGCCTAGCCCACTAAGTGGCAATCGTTAGAATTTACGTATGTCAGAGAAAAAAAACTTCAGAACTTCTCCTTAAGAGACTACTGCATAATAGTCATTGGCAAAGAGGATTTTGAGGCCACAACTAATTATTTTGAGCTTATCACCTACATCCGAGAAAAATTACTACAAATAACACATACAAATATTATCTTGTGTCTGCCGACATTCAAATGTGGTAGATTTGTAAACATATTCAACAAGAGAATAGAACTGTTTAATAACCTCCTTTATTTGGACAATATGACATATCAATACTCATATTTAATTGACTCCAACTTGAACCTCGATTACAACCATACCATGCTTCATAAGCGCACAGGCCAGATAAACGACTACGGCATGAAGATCATCTTTAAAGACGTCGCTGATCTAATAAAGAACATAGAAGAATACCAAGAAGAGGATTGTGGCAAAATTGTAGTAAACAGTACCAATGATTTTAAAACCTCCGAAATTGTCTCAAAAAAGGAAGAAACCTTACCGATAAGTAAATGCCTATCATCAAATCAAGAAACAGGGCCTATAACCAAAAGTAGAATTCCCGACAAGACATTTCGTTAACTGTTTTAAATTAACTTTCCAAAACGTTCAGAGCTTAGGAAATAAAGTAGACTTAATCGAGCATTTATTAGTTGATACAAACATTGACATATTATTATTGTCAGAAGTATGGAGAAGTGAGGACTTTTGTGAATCTATAGTAATACCAAATTATAAAGTAGCTTCAAAATTTAGTAGAAAAAGGCATGGTGGTGGAGGTGTTTGTATTATGCTGAAAGATTGTATTGATTATATTGAAAAAATAGACTTGGTTAGTTTTTCCGTAGAATTTACGATTGAATTTTGTGCAATAGAAATACCGAAGTATAATATTGTTTTAGTCAGCTTATATAGAGCGGATCGTAATATTAATATCTTTTATGAACAATTAAATAAACTACTTAATAGAATACAACTAAAATATAGTCATAAAAATGTCATTATTGGGGGTGATTTTAATATAAATGTTAACGAAAACAATAGTGATTCTCAGGAACTTTTAAATTTAATGCGTTCTCATAATTTAGCTCAACTTATAAAAGAACCCACCCGAGTCACAAATAAAACAGCCACCTGTATTGATCTAATCTTTACAAACTATATATCTTTAGTAAAAAATTGCTATGTTATTGATTATGGTTTATCAGATCATAAAGCAACAAATCTAGAGTTAAATTTAGAGACGGCGATAAGCAAAAAGCAAGTGTTATTTACAAGAAAAAGGTGTTTTACAAAACAAAACATTAATTCATTCAAAAACTCATTATATAACGTCGATTGGAATAATATTCTAAAAGAGAGCCAAACTGTAAATGAGAACTACAATATTTTTCTTAAAATAATATCAAATAGTTTAAACGAACATATACCTATGATGAAAGTAAAAATAAAAGAACAAAAATATAAAGGCTGGTTGACAACTGGATTAAAAAAATCTTGTAAGCATAAAAGACTTTTAAGAATAATCCTTAATGAAACAAAAAGTCCAGTTTTTCTTAATTACTATAAAAAATACACAAAAATTCTTAAACGTAGTATCAAATTATCAAAAAAACTACAATACATTAAACAAATGAAAAATTCGAGTAATAAAATAAAGACCATGTGGAACGTAATTAATAATAAATTGGGTAGAATGAAAACAAAAAATCGCAAAAGCATGATGTTAAATATTAATAATAACACAATAACGTGTCCTATACAAATTTCTAACCTATTTAATGAACATTTTGCAGCAATTGGTAAAACTAATAATATTAATAAAAATCAGAAACAATATAAAAATTCTGTCGAATTGAAAGCGACATGCTCCATGTATCTATCCTCAGTTGATGAAAGGGAAATCCAAAATAGTATAAAAAAATTAAAAACTAAATATAGCTGTGGTGTAGATGATATTCCACCGGCGCTTTTAAAACAATGCACTGAAGAATTTGTCTATCCCCTTACTTTTTTAGTAAACCAAAGTTTTCAACATGGCATATTTCCAGACCCTCTCAAAATAGCACTAATAAAACCGTTGCACAAAAAAGAAGATAAAAAAAACCCTAACAACTACAGACCAATAGCCCTATTGCCCACCTTTTCAAAGGTATACGAAAAAGCAATGTGTAATAGACTCTACTCATTCCTTGAAAAGTATGAAATACTAGATGATAGCCAAAATGGATTCAGAAAATCAAGATCAACCACCCTAGCTGTATATAAGTTCATACAAATGACCCTACAAAATTTAAATGATAAAAAACATACTTTTGGTATTTTACTTGATATGACGAAAGCATATGACAGGGTGCCCTATGATAAACTACTTTTAAAACTTATGAATTCGGGTATCCGTGGGCTAGTGCATAACTGGTTCAAATCCTATTTAAATAATCGGAAGCAAATAGTAGAAATTGAACACTACAACCAAATTACTAATGAAGTAATAAAAGTTCGTTCTGAAGAGAAACACCTAACTAGTTCAATCCCACAGGGCAGCGTTTTAGGCTGTGTGCTATTTCTTATTTATGTAAATGACCTACCAAAATGTTTGTATAGTGAATCAACACTGCCAGTATTATTTGCAGATGACTTATCAATACTTATAAAAAGTAACGACAACATTAGCTCTGAAACCCTTATCTATGATACACTTCATTATGTCACACATTGGCTTGATAGCCATAATCTAGAAATAAACCTTAAAAAAACAAAAATTTTACAATTTCGTTCATATAATAAACCACCCCTAAAAATTAATTTTCAATTACAAAATACCCTAATAGAAGAGATAGACTCGTATAACTTGCTTGGACTTAATGTAGATACACATTTAAACTGGAAGTCGCATATTGAAAAAATTAAATGCAAGCTCTCTAAATTTACATATGCGCTTTATCAAATTAATCATAGCACAAATTTAGAAACTGCACTGTCCACATATTACGCGTATGCCTTTTCATGGCTTAAATATGGCATTATCCTTTGGGGTAATAGTGTTAATGCAGATGAATTGTTCATTTTACAAAAAAAATGTGTTAGGATACTTGCCAGAATTGATAACAGACATAGCTGTCGACCCTACTTCATTAAATTTAAATTATTAACCTTAATTTCTATTTACATAAAAGATATAAGTAACTTCGTATTTAAAAATAAACACTTCTTCACCCAGATAAAAGAAACACACAATGTAAATACTAGGCATAAACATAGGTTATATTTACCCCCATCTAGAACCAAAATGCTCAATTGTAGTCCATATTACATGGCAATTAAAATATTCAATAAACTACCCATAGATGTAAAATCTGAAGTTAAATTAAGTTCATTCAATAAAAAACTTCATGATTATCTTATTTCCAAATGCTTTTACACGCTCACTGAATTTTTTGATAGTTAATTACTAACCAGTAAATTACTAAGTATTAAATAAAATTTTATTTTCAAAATAGCCAAATATAATATAATGATGTTACATAGTTATAAGTCCATTCAATTATTTTATTGTATATTTCTTGTATATTGCAACGCCCGACAGGGTCTATAATGGTCACTGTAACTGCTAATGTACTGTACATTATAGAAGCAATAAACGATTTGATTTGATTTGATTTGATTTGACCATTTGTTTAAGCTAATAAATAATACACGAGGTTGGAAGTGAAGGAAAACTTCGTCGTCGTCATTATTATTACAATCAGTCAGAAATCTACTATTGAACATAGGCCTCCGTCATAGATTGCCTCATTGGATGAATACTGAAGTTGGCATATAGCAGGCGGATTGGCAACCTTGTATTAACGTAAGATAACTCACTACCCCATATCAACCCGTGATCATAACATATCAAGTTAAAATAAAAATAAAAAATCTGCATTTGTGAGATATAAAATATATCGAGAGCATGTGAACTGCTAACAGTCTCTCACAGCGGTAAGAGTCTCATTTCTATAAGGGAAGGCCTGGTGATAGGAATGCCGTTACCGTTATAGCCTATGAAAAGCCTACTACTCAACATAGCCTCCTCTAGATTGCCTCATAGGGCATGCTTCATAGCCATAGTTACCAAGTTTGGCGGGCGCGTTGACAACCTCAGCTTTTTATTAGGAAGACGCCACTGCCCATCTGGTTTGTTTTCCTCTGTTTCTTACAACACATATAGTGGATAACATCACACTGCCACTACACGGTAAAGTTGATACGATAACAAGTAATAAATTTACCTGGGATGCCCCTTATGCCCGGCGAACCTACTGGCGCTTGCATGTACTGGTAAGGATCAAAAGCGGGCCCCTTATCGCCACCTGCTACCGCTGCCAGTTGTGCGAGGTACGCGTTCACCTGAACAAAAAACATTTATAATTTGATTTATATATGTATTTCACTTTTATTGAACCTTACAGACAGTATAGAATCAAAAGGCGGACTTAATGCTAAATGCAGTCTCTGCCGGTCAACCTTAGGACATTCATATAACAACGAAAGCTAACCGCCTTAAAGAACAAAAAAAATATATTTAAAAAGAAAACCTATACATATCTAAATAATACTCAAGAAATTTTAACATAGTATTACACATAAAATACACGCATATATATAGACATAAACACACATATAATATACAGTTATAAGATGATATAAAAATAAGATAAGTTTGTAATATCCTGATTAAACTAAAATAGATATAACTATGTGTTTATCATTTTTGAACCAATTTTTTAAAATAAGACCGAACATTCCTTTTAAATGTAAAGGTATACATACACCAAAGTATTTTTCAATAGAGTTTAATATTTAATTAACTTTTTTTATCTCCTTGATCAGCCGATAAAGGTCCATTTCTTGACATGGCAGGTCCATGTCCCGGTGTAGAGAGTATTTGACAGATTGACGATCCTAGTACCAGAAGTCTCGTGCCTTTGAGTACCCTGCCAATCGTCCATCTGGTTATTATACGTTCGGCGATAACGAGATTGTTATCCATTATTGGAAATCAGTCATCTATTAAGTAATTATTAAGAAAGTTCCAATCACGGAACATAATGAGTTGATGCATTCATAGTATTTAAAGACCTATAAATAAATATCGCCGTGTATCCCCTTCCCCACATCATTACTCGGGTGTCGTAAAAGGCGACAAAAGAAAATGAAACAGGAGATGGGCAGCAGCATCGTTCTGAGTCATGCTGCAGCCATATTAGTAGTATCGTCAAGCGTCAGTAGCCTAATGGCAGGGCGCAGACCGCGAACTCGAAAGGTCGTGGGTTCGAATCCGCCATTCGACTACTGTAGTGAACCACTTTTAATACAAGCATTTTAAGCTTACCAGAAGTGGTTAAAGGGAATATTAGTAATTAATAATAGTTGTAGCACGAATTGGTCGGCTCGAACGTGGAAGGACCACGCTCTCACAGAATACCAGCGTAAAATGGCAGCTTGACGCTGCTGTGTTTCGTATGGTGAGTGTAGAGAACCGGAGACCCATTTTACTGGAAAAGAGGCATTCTATCTTAGTCCTCACGGGTGACGACGCTTCTGCATTTTAATTCTTTATTGAGATTAAATGTAGATGTCTATGGATCACAGCGACCACTTACCATCAGGTGGACTGTGTGCTCGTTTGTCACTCTATACTATAAAAAAAATCGGTTGTCTGTAAAGTCGGTTTACTGACGATAGTTGAACGTGACAACGTCATAAGAAAATGTTGCTATAAACAATTGACACCACATTCACTTTTCACTGCACTTCATACTTGACGAAAACATGTAAATGTATTATTGTATAGCAACTGTCCATGCGGACGCACCGCTCACTTAAGTAGGAGAGAGACAGATGTCGAACGCTGCCGAACGCGGAGGCCGATTGTGCCTCTTTGTCGCCCGTTCCGTGCTCTCGCTTGCACTTCAAGCCTTAAATGGAACGCCTCAAAGCGAGGTAACGCCGCATGAGTCATGTTTTTTCGTGCGTGCAGTCAACTTCATCGAATTATAAGACGTTGTCACGTCAAAAATCAAAATGTTTTAAAACTGCGGTAGCCAACCCGCAAGCTTAGCGTAGTAACTATGGCGAATATCCCCGTTGTGATTGAATATATGGGGAAAAGCCTATGTTCAGACATTTGATAGGATATAGTAAATGAATAGACCTATAAAAATTATTAAGTCTTCTGGCCATACAGAGTGGCGTAAGAGAATACATCTCTCCATTTTGTCGCGTGATGTGACCTTTCATCCTGATAGCAATTTTTTATAGTAAAGTATATGAAGGTGCAAAGTGTCTAGCGATCACCATTCCTAATTTTGATAAATCACTACTGGTGAGACCCTCTGGATAAGGCCCAGCCGTGAGCTGCTACGGGCTGATTAGAAGAAAATGATATGAGAAGTTCTTATTTGTATTTTATTACCACGTTTTTATTAGTCACTTTCTTGTTTGTCTGTCGTTCCAGGTGGAATTTAGTAATTGATTTTAAACTAACTTCCCGATGAGCTGGAAACTTGAAATTTTAATGAGCTCAAATTCGGATGACAATACAAGAATATGATAAAAAAACGTGGGTGATTTTGTTTTAAAATTTTGAAAAATTTCACTTGTTATATAAATACAGTGTTTTATACAGTGGTAGAGCCACGCGGCAGCTTTTGCTGTCGCACGGATGGGCCGGCTCGAACCGGGGTGGTACCACGACATCACAGAATACCAGCGTGAAGTAGAGGTTTACCTCTGCGTTTCTCTTGGTGAGTGCAGGTGGCCGGAGGCCCTTTTTACTGAAAATGAGGCATTCCATCTTAGTCCTCACGGGTGACAATGCATCTGCATTTTGATTTGTAATAGAGGATAGATGTAGATGTCTATGGGCCGCAGCAACCACTTACCATCAGGTGGACTGTGTGCTCGTTTGTCACTCTTATCCTATAGAAAAAATACAAAAAGCACACGTCTTCAAACTACAACAATCTACAACTTTTAACTACTAACATCAGGCATCGGTCCAGCTGGTCCTGGTATTCCTGGAGTACCAGGAATGCCGTTGACACCAGGCGCTCCAGGTGCTCCCGAAGGTCCTTCATCACCCGGCCGACCGGGCACACCTCTCACGGGTGTAGTCGGCTGAGCGCCAGCGTTGTATACAGGTCTGCTGGTTGCCGTTGCTAAGATTTAAAAGAAAAAGACGCATATTATACAACAAAAAATCAGATATTCGGTCAGCGTATATGGTAGAGCCATGATACGGTTGTATTTTAGCCGTAGCAGTAATGGGTCGGCTCAAACGCGGAAGAGCCACGCTGAGAATAATGACATTACAGAATAACGTAATGTCCTCCAGACAACGAACGCTAGCAATCTGCGCATAATAAGATTATAGTGCCTAAGTGTATGTGAAAACACATATGCACTCTCTATTCCCTCACTCTCATAGTGCGTATGGACGGCAATCCATCACAACCGAAGAGAGATCTTTGCGTGCTTTCCGAGACACGGTGGTGTAATACCGCCACCTTCCTGACTCCAGCCAGCTACTAAGAATTTCTCGACCAAAAAACTTAATAACTAAATTTTGGGCCGACATGGAATTTGAACCCGGGACCTCATATTTCGCAGCTGCGATTGCAACCACTAGACCAACGAGGCAGTCTGTCAACCGGTCACTCACAGAATACCAGCGTAATAGTATGGTACACGATGCTGCAGTGTTTTGTATGTTGAGTGTAGAGAACTATATAGTGCTCTTTGTTACTGCTAGCCAGGCACTAAAATGTCACCTGAGACAAACAATTTCCACCAACACGACGACTACCTTTGGTGTTTCTGTGTCTCTACCCGTTGTTCTAATCCCTTCATTGACTAGTGTTGCCATTTATCGTAGTTTTAAAATTACCGAAAGACAAAAAATCCACTTGATTTTAATTTAACAAAACTATATAGTTTGAACCTGATATAAGAAATCAAAAAAATACAACGTAACGTGAACTTACATATTAAACAAGCTGGAAGAACTGAGCAGTTGACACGTCCATCATGACACTGGCACAAAGTACAGTTGTCCCTCTTCCACGTGTCTCCATCTAAGTACGTCCGGCCCGAGTCCATGCAGCCTTGCGGAAGTGGCGCTGGTTTGACAATAATTATTTAAATACATTTTGACTATACCAGGAACACAATTTAAACGGACTAAAATGTTTTTTTTTGTTTTTTTTTATAGGATAGGGTGACAAACGAGCACACAGTCCACCTGATGGTAAGTGGTTGCTGTGGCCCATAGACATCTACATTTATCCTCGTTAGCGAATCAAAATGCAGATGCGTTGTCACCCGTGAGGACTAAGATGGAATGCCTCTTTTCCAGTAAATAGGGTCTCCGGTTCTCTACACTCACCATACGAAACACAGCAGCATGAAGCTGCTATTGACGCTGGTATTCTGTGAGAGCGTGGTCCTTCCCCGGTCGAGCCGACCCATTCGTGCTACAACTATACTACTAATATAGCTGTAGCATGGCTCTACCACGTAATGTGTATTTTTTCTATACCTAGTATGGGGTAATACGTAAATCCCCATACGTATTTATTACCCTATACATAAAAAGATTTTTTTTAATTGCGTTTAGTGTCAATGGTAACGTCAAATGGCCACCATAAGATATTATTTTACCAAACCTTTAAAAAGTAAAGTAAAGTAAAGTAAAGTTGTAGCCAATATAAGTCCCGATGACGGACACAAGCCTCCTCTCATTTCTGAGAGGGTTTTAGGGCAAGAAAATGTCCGCCGCGCTGCCCCAATGCGTGTTAGTGAACTTCCCATGTCTTCGAGATATATTTTTTTTATTTCTCAGATATGCAGGTTTCCTCACGAAGTTTTCCTTCACCGCCGAGTACGTGGTAAATCAGCACTTAAAATTAACAATTTCATTGGCGCCGGCGGGAATCGAACCCGGGTTGCTCGCGTACTGTGAAACTTACAGCGATCGCTAACCTTCTGAGCTACCACGGCTCTCCAAACCTTTAGTTTGTTATATCTTTAGTTTTTTTTTGTATATAATATGTTTATTGTACATAATATGACCTAATAGCGCTTTGAGTGTTTGACAGCAACTAAGGCCGCGCACTTAAGTTCTGCACGGAACAAATGTGTTCCGTCGTGATATGAAAAATATGGCATCCAAATTATCTCTTTTTTATACTAACGAGCACACAGTCCACTTGATGGTAAGAAACAGAAACAGAAACAGAAACAGAAACTTTTTTATTCAATATAGATTATAAATAATACTTATTGAAAGTCACTCTTTTGTTTGATTACCACTGGTTCGGAAAAAACCTCTGTCCTGGGAAGAACCAGCAAGAAACCCAGCGGGACTTTTTTTTTAAATAACAGCTTACAATCATGATGTTACACAAATTAACAACACAACAAATTAGAAATAGCTTGGTAGCGATCACCTCATTTCCAGGGATTATTATCATCCATAAATTCCTTAATATTATAATAACCCTTTTTATACAAACTTAGTTTAATAAAGTTTTTGAACTTTGAACAGGTCAAACTTTGTATATTTTCTGGAATTTTGTTGTAAAAGCGTATACATCGCCCCAAGAATGAATTACTGACTCGATGGAGTCGAGTAACTGGTACTACTAGCTTGTGTCTGTTCCTAGTATTTACAGAATGAATATCACTTATTTTTGTAAAACTACTTTTATTTTTGTGTACGTACATTACATTTTCATAAATGTATTGAGAGGCCAAAGTTAATATATTAATTTCCTTAAATTTTTGTCGCAGCGTCTCTTTAGGCTTTAAATCATAAATTGCTCTTATGGCCCTCTTCTGCAAAACAAATATAATTTCAGTGTCAGCTGCGTGTCCCCATAGCAAAATACCATACGACATTATGCTATGGAAGTAGCTGAAGTAAACTAGTCTAGCTGTTTCAACACTGGTTAAACTTCTAATCTTTTTTACAGCATATGCTGCAGAACTAAGTCTGCTAGCTAGTTTTGATATATGGGGGCTCCATTGAAGCTTCGCGTCTAGTGTGATTCCAAGAAAAATGGTGGTATCTACAAGACTCAGTTTCTCCCCATTTAAAATTACATTAGTATTTAATTGTTTGACATTTGGAGTCACGAATTTCATACATTTTGTTTTAGTGCCATTTAAATGCAAATTATTAACATCGAACCAATTTACTAATTTAGAGATAGCATTATTTACTTCGTCATATTTTAGTAACTGTCGACTTAATTTGAAAATTAAAGAAGTGTCATCTGCAAATAATACTATATCATGGTTATCCCCTACTAAGTAAGGTAAGTCATTAATGTATACAAGAAACAGAAAGGGGCCGAGAATTGAGCCTTGAGGCACGCCCATTTGTACCATCGATCCGGAAGAGCTCATATTGTTAATGACAACTTTTTGCGTTCTCTTACTTAAATATGAAATAATTAACTTCAACACTACGGTTTATTTAAATAATTAATTAATTTAAATAAACCGTAGTGTTGAAGTTTCCTGATTAATGTTTCATGGTGAACACAATCGAAGGCCTTGGATAGGTCACAAAATATACCCAAAGCATCCTGTGAATTCTCCCATGCATTAAAGATATATTTAATCAGCTCAACACCGGCATCAGTTGTCGAGCGACCCCTTGTGAAACCAAATTGATTTTTATGAAGTAAATTATTTATATTAAAAAAATTTAACATTTGAACAAGAACAATTTTTTCAAAAATCTTACTAAGTGTTGGTAGTACAGAAATAGGTCTAAAATTGGCGGGGTCTAATGTACTACCAGATTTAAATAAAGGTATTACTTTACTATGCTTCATTAAATCAGGAAACACACCAGATTCGATACTAGTATTAAAAATAATAGCTAAACGAGGCGCGATTGTATCTATTATAGATGCAATAACTTTAACGGAAATCCCCCACAGATCCGCAGTTTTCTTAACATCAATAGTTTTAAAATATTTTACAATATCTTTTGATGACACTTTATGAAATGTAAAATTCTTTGTACACACATTTACATTTTGTTTAAGTAATGATTCGGCGACGGCAGGAGAAGAATTCAGTGACTTAGTGACTAAGTGGATGTTGAGGCCCATAGACATCTACATATATCCTCGATTAAGAATCAAAATGCAGATGCGTTATCTACCCCTGAGGACTAAGATGGAATGCCTCGTTTCCAGTAAAAAAGGTCTCCGGTTCTCTACATTCACTAAACAAAACACAGCAGCATTAAGCTGCTATTTTACGCTGGTATTCTGTGAGAGCGTGATGCTTTCCAGGTCGAATGGACCCACAATAATAATATGCAGCAGTGTGGCTCTACCACCTATTACACCATGTAAATGTAACTTTTAATACAAAGGAAAAGGCGATATCTAAGAACAAAAAAAAATTATAAAATCATGTTCTAAAGTTGGTGCTAAGACAATGTATAGAAGAATGAAAATAAGCTCCAGAATGTGAACTTTTTTTTTCTTTTAATTTTATTGAAGTAGACGTTTACTTTTTAATAAAAGTAAATATTTTTACCCTTTTGAGTGGAGTGTCGTTTAAATAGTTACATTAAAAATTTCATCTCCTACTTTGTCACCCTTTGTCGTAAAACATTTTCTCTTATATATGGAATCACTCCTGAAGTATAACCTATGTAATAAAAAAGAATTATCAAAATCTGAAGTATAACCTATGTAATAAAAAAGAATTATCAAAATCAGAAGTATGACCTATGTAATAAAAAAGAATTATCAAAATCTGAAGTATAACCTATGTAATAAAAAGAATTATAAAATCTGAAGTATAACCTATGTAATAAAAAGAATTATACAAAATCGGTTTACAATTCACGAAGACAACGCGTAATATACCACCTCATTTTTTTTAATGTCGGCTAAAAACGTCTATACGATACAGGAGATTTGAAGTAAAGGTACTTTTCCACGCATTAGATTCTTCTCGTGGATGTCGTAAGCGGCTAGTTTGAGAATTGTTCCAAAGATAGCATAAATGGACCTGCGACAAAGGAGCCAGACGTCTCGTACTGCAGTCACCAGTTAACCTATTAAGCGTTTCGATTCCCTTCATACAACGAGAAGACCCATGTCGAACTGTGGACTTTTACGAGCTGAAGAATAAGATAGTTTGTTATAAAAATAGTATTTACAACAATCGAAGTTATTTTGATATCTTATACACTTAGAAAGAAAGAAATTAATAGAAGCAGGCGCTACTTTGCCGAAAACAATTCATTTAAACTAGCAACACGACCCGGATTCACCTAGGTAGGATGTAAAAGTGTGGCTTATTTAGATTGAAGATGGTCAAAGATCACTTATGTTATCAATTTTTCGTTTTTTTTTTCATCTTTTAAAAATCTCCAAGTTTTCAGATAAAATATAGCCTTGATCTCTTCTGGCACTGCTCTGTATTTGTACGTGAAGTTTCAATTTAATCGGTTCAGCCGCTCCGAAGGTTAACCCGGGCAAACAGATAATTTTTGAAGTTATACTTCCTATCGCGCGCACACCGACACCTAAAAACGACACCACGAAGTTGTTACGATGCGCGCTCACACTGACACCTAAAAGCAACAAACTTCACTGGGTAATGGGTAATGGTAAACTGGAAAAAATAATTGTCTCTAAATTTTTTTTGTTTTGTTTTGCTAAAGAAGTATAACTTCCTAGGAGCGTACATAAGTTTACACACACACTTTTTTAAATGTTTACTCATGTCTGACATGCAAATAACCCCCTTAGCATAATATAATTAAAGCAGTTATTTCGATATTAGAAACAGACACATTATTTTTTATATGTATAAATATTAGACATGTTAACATCTTTAGGAAAAAATAAAATAATTTTTAAATCAACCCACCTCTCGTCACTGGTAGTGAAGGTGGTCTTCGGTATCCAGGAGTACCTAAACAAATTTAATTTACATCTATTAAAGCATTGTTAAAATTGAAGTATGCCGAATGTGACGCCTTAATTGCCGATTTACTGGCACCAAAGCATTCTAATTAATATAGACTAGCATTCAAATTGGACGTCAGTGAATAACTGCCGACGACTTGAGGCATGAATAATATTTTATTATCAAACCATTAATAAATAGGTGAGCCGTGGTAGATCAGGGCCTAAGCGCTTGCTGTAAATTTCACAATACGCGACCAACCCGGATTCGATCCCCGTCGGCAACAATGAAATTGTTAATAGCAATTTTAAGTGCTGATTTACCACGTGCTCGGCGATGAAGGAAAACATCGTAAGGAAACCTGTCTGCCAATGAATGAGAAGTAAATAAAATTTCGAATACATGTGAAATTCGTTCGTTCGGCGGACATTTCCTTGCCCCTTAAAACCCTTTCAGAAATGAGAGGAGGCCTGCCTGCCCATCAGTGGGACGTATATAGGCCGTATATTTTAAATTTATTAATAAATAAATAGTCTAGAAAATTAATAATTGGATCCACATTGAGTCTATAGCAGAATTACTACATGGGACTATGTTTGAAGATCAAAGGAATCACAATTGTATTACTGAGTATTACAATTAGGATTCCTCATCCTATATAATCATGCAATAATCAAAAGTCTCGTAAACTAAATCAGGTAATTTAGATTCCATTATTTATTTCTCTACGGCCAGCGCTCTCTATTTCTCTGTTCCAGAGTTTAAATTAAAAATAAAGTAAAATGAGTGTGCAGCGTCAATATCAAAGTGTGAGAAGTCTGGTACTGCGATAATCGCTGCGTGACGGCTAATCCTCTTTACAACGAGAGAGGCCCAGGTCCAGTAGTCACGTTTATGAGCCGACGATGAAGAAGAAAGTGGATGTGCAAATAAACCGTTACCGTTACAGTCTATTAAAGTCCACTGCTGAACATAGGCCTCCCCCATAGATTTCCTCATAGGGAGAATATTTGCCATAGTTGCCATGCTTGGCAGGCGGTTTGGCAACCGCAGTTTTCTTTGTTGTTATTGGGAAGACGCTGCCGCCAATCTCCTGATTTGTTTCCCTCTGTCGCCTCTAACGACACCCACGCCATGATATGGGGTAAAGGATGTTCTCACATCGCCAATACATACAGTAAGTGCAAATAAAGGAGAATATTACAATACAATACAATACTCTTTATTGTACACCAAGAAAAGATAAAAATATCAGAAATAAAAAATAAACAACTATTGAGGGAAATACAAACGGCGGTCTTATTGCTACATAACAATCTCTTCTAGGCCAAAGCCTTCGACCGAGTCTGGCATGAAGGCCTTATTTTCAAATTATATAGGATAGGACTCTCCGATCGTCTAGTACGTCTCGTAGCCTCTTATTTACAACATCGTACCTTTCGTTTTAGACACGAAGGCACGTTATCCTCTCAGCGCCCCATTAAAGCTGGTGTTCCTCAAGGATCAGTACTAGCTCCCCTCCTGTACATCTTGTACACCAACGACATTCCTATCCCGTCGAATGGTGTACAGCTCTCACTCTTCGCAGATGACACTGCACTATACTTCAAAAGTCCTAGAATATCTTCAGCAAGGAACAAGATCCAAAAGTCAGTCGATGACCTAGGAGACTGGTTCCAAAAATGGCGTATCGATGTGAACCCGGAGAAGAGCTCCGCAGTTCAATTCGATATTAAAAGACGCCGTAATAAAAACAAGAAAAATACTCCACCTATACGAATGCTAGGGACCCCTGTCCCATGGCACATGTCAGCAAAATATTTAGGCGTCACCCTTGACTATAGGCTTACTTTTGAGTCTCATGTCAAAAGAGTAACGCGTCTAGCACGTTTCTATTTAGGTCGGCTTAACAGTATGTTAGGCAGACATAGCAAAATGTCATTACGAAATAAGCGAACCCTCTATAAGGTTTGTATACGACCGGTTATGACTTACTCGGCTCCTATTTTTGCACACGCTAACGATAAAATTATTAACGAACTCCAAGTAGTTCAAAACCTCTTCTGTCGTCGAGCTACGAACGCACCTTGGTACGTCCGTAATGCCGACCTTCACCGGGATTTAGAAATCCCAACAATCCAGCAATGTCTTAAAAAATTCTCTGAAAACTTCTTTAAAGTATCAGAGTCGCATACTAACACACTTATTCGTGAGGCAGTTACTTATACCGCCCCACTCCCTTCTCGCTATAGCGTCCGCAGGCCGAGAAACACTCTCTCGGACCCGCCAAATAAGTTGTCAAACGACCTGAACTGCCTCCTGGCGGCTCAGGCCAATCCTAATTAAATTAAAAATTAGTTAAAATTAATAATATGCCTTCGTAGGCAGTCCCTAAACGGCACTTAGCCGTCTGCGCCCTCTTTTCCCAAAAGAGGGTCGCTTTAGATACGGCATATGCAGCTTTAATAGAGCTAGTTGCCAGTCCCCAAAGGCGGTTTTTAGTGGGTATCACTTAGGTCCCCCGGTAGGCAGTGAGTCCCACATAACCAGGACAGACCGGCTGTCGTGGTATGCATAATGCATTTTCCGCCTCCCTCAGTGGTAGCCCTTTTCCAATTGCTTCGGGCGCAAAAAAAAAAAAAAAAAAAAACAACCCAGAAGAAGAAATAAATAAAAATAAGAAAAAGAACAATGGGTAGGGTGCACTAAAATATAAAATATTTTAGTGCACCCTACCCATATATTAATTAATTACGTCATCTCATATTCGAAGTAACAGTACTTAAAACTGGTGAATATAAATATATAGATAGGTTGAGAAATTGAGTATTAAGAGAAGAAGAATGATGCAAGAAGACGTTGCAACCGTTAATAAAGGAATGCGTCGATGGCTGGCACATGTAGAAAGAATGAATGCTTAAAGAGTGACAAAGTCAGTTTATGATGATTTTTTTGCATTTTTGCAGAGTCAGTAAGGGATGAACTAAACGAAAGTTTATCGAACAAATTGACGACATATTAAAGATGGGCTAAATTAAGAAGCCGCGATTATGAGACAATCTATCGGGAACGCGTATGTTCAGCTAAGTTAAAGCAACGTTCCAGTTTATTACAGCTGCAGTACAAATGAACATGCTCGACCGGGGAAAGACCACTCTCTCACCGAGACCATCGTAAAATAGCAGCATAAGACTGATGTATTTTGTATGTTGAGCTTGAGTGTAGTAAACCGGATACCCTTTTTACTGGTAATAAGATATTCCATTTTAGTCCTCTAGATGACTCTAGAAACGCGTATGCATTATGATTTTTAATCAAGGATAAATAAAACCATTGTGGCGGATTGGGATTATTTTACTAGATATAGTGGACTGTATTGAGAATCTAAATCCCCTGAAACGTTCAGTTACCGCAGTCACAAAATCACACCAAAAACAGCAATAAACTACTCACGGTCTTACTAGCCAGCCTCCCAAGATCAGCAAACGTTGACAGCTCCTGGTAGCTTCTTCTACACGGTAGAATACACTAGCAATTAGATTGTACACGGTACACTCTGGAGTAGTCCCTTTTTAAAGTTTTTGGAGAGATGTTCACATCACGAACACAAAGAGAATGTGTATGGCTTGTCTCGCCTCCTACCCTCCTCTTCTCTTTTTTTTAACTCCACAGATTATTACAACGCATATTACGTCGCAATGTTGCCACTAGGTGTGACCGGCGCTCCGATCGTAGCAGATCATTGTGCCTCGGTATAAATTTTGTGAGTTGCGGTTTATTACTGAACACACCCCCCACCGAAACCATCTTGATGGTTTCTCCTAACTATATGAAAAAGATATTAGAGAAAATATTATAACTTAAGCTACGGAACATGCAAAATAACGCTGAGACACAGAATGTCCTCAACGAGAAAAAAAAAATATTAATACACGTAAAAACTAATTTGAATAAGGTAGAGGACTCAGTTTATTAACTGGTCTCTGTAGAGTACTCTTTTGAGTGCGAAGCGTAACACAACGAACAATCCCATCTGGACCGGGGTGAAGAGCCTCAATTCTACCCAAAGGCCAATTGCACGGCGGTACATTATTAGTTTTTATGATTACGAGATCACCTATTTTTATATTAGATCTATCCGAATGCCACTTTGCTTTCTGTTGCAGCGTATTTAGATATTCGTGACTCCATCTACGCCAAAACATTTGTGAACATTTTTGAATATATTGCCAACGTGATAATCGATTTATTGTTATATCCTCTACATTATACTCAGGTACTGCTGTTAACCCTTTTCCAATTAGAAAGTGTCCCGCAGTCAAAACGTTGAACTCATCAGGATTATCACTAGCTGGTAACGGACAAAGCGGCCGCGAGTTGAGAATCGCTTCTACTTTACAAAACACTGTTGTGAGTTCCTCGAACGTCAAACTTTTTTCTCCTACGGCTCGCGTTAATAGATACTTGGCGGATTTAATTCCAGCTTCCCAGAGCCCACCCATATGTGGTGCACCAGGGGGATTAAATCTCCATATAATTTGTCGTTTTGAGCAACCCTCTAATATATTGTTTTTTTGTTCGAGCATAAATCTTTGTACTTCGGTTAAATGCTTACTAGCAGCTATGAAATTAGTTCCGCAATCCGAATAAAGGAAGGAGCACACACCGCGTCGCGCTACAAATCTGTCTAAACACGCGAGGAAACAGTCCGATGACAACGACGATAAGACTTCAAGGTGTACAGCTTTTGTCGAATAACAAATAAATAATGCTAAATATGACCGTTCAACCCTAGCATTTCGTCGTAATCTTTCTTTTGTAAAGAACGGACCACCGAGGTCCACCCCTACATGCTCAAAAACATTACAAGGTATCAATCGGGCTGCTGGCAAAGGTGCCATCTCAGGCTGTAAGAGCACTGGGTTGTGTTTAAAACAAATTTTGCATTTGGACAAAACTGACCGAATAATGCGACGGGATGCTAAAATCCAAAAATTTTGATTAATAATGTTTTGTAAGGTGCGTGGACCTACGTGTAAATATTTTTTATGTAAATATTCAATAAGTAAAAAGGTAAATCTACTATTTTTAGGTAATAAACGAGGATGCTTCGCGTTATAAGGTAACGCTGAATAATTTATTCGACCCCCCACCCTGAGGTATCCGCGTTCGTCAATAAATGGAGATAATTTTCTCAACGACGGAACGTACTTTGTGCCCTTTGACAATCTATTTATTTCATTTGCGAAGTATGCACTTTGTACTAATTTAATTAAAACATCTTGGGCAGTATTTAATTCGTTAGTCGTCAGTATTGATTGCTTCGAGTGACCGGATTTGAGTCGGAACCATCTCAATATTCGAGCAAACGTACGTTGCAGTTTATAATAAGAAGAGAAATTGGAAAAGATTCGGTCACAGAACTCTAACTTAGTCTCCTCTATCGAATTATTTTCATTTGTGATTAAATTGAAGGAGCCTAATGTATGATTTGATTTCATTTCGGGTGTATTACTTTCATGTTGGTTGATAAATGTTCTCACTGGCCACTGCGAATAGTCGTCGTACAACCAAGATGGGCCCTTCAACCACTGCTCACTGCACTCCACGAGCTGTGACGGAGACGCTCCGCGCGAGCATATGTCTGCCATATTGCACTCACTACTCACGTGACGCCAACAGTGTGGAGGTAACACTTCACATACCTGAGTAACACGGTTACTAACAAACGGCTTTAATTTGTAAGCTTCTGTCTGAAGCCACGTCAACACGATAGTCGAATCGGTTAACGCAGTAATACGAGTAATTTTTACACGAGTTAAAATGTCACGGACATATCTAATTAATTTGCTTAACAAAACTGACGCCATTAATTCCAACCTCGGGATAGTTAATGGTTTGACGGGGGCTACTTTAGATTTTGCTGTCACCAGGCGTACTTTAGTTTGACCTCTATCGTTACGACTGATCACATACACACAACTAGCATAACCGCGAGAGCTTGCATCGCAAAAGGCGACCAATTCACATTCGGTCTGTTCTGGTAGCAGCATATGTCTATCTATCTTGATTGCCGTTAGTCGCGGGAGATCATCAACGTAATTAAGCCAGCGCTTAGTTACGTCAGTTGGCAGCTGCTCATCCCATCCTATGCCCAGCTTCCATAAATCTTGCATTATCTCTTTCGCGATGAAAATGCACGGTGAAATAAAACCCACGGGGTCGTAAATAGAAGCTAATAATTTTAAAACAGAACGTTTAGTTGTTACTTTATCAGTCTTATCTACTGTGAAATAAAAACAGTCAGTCAAAGGGAACCATTTCAGACCTAGCACTTTGACTGAATATTCGTTACAATCTTTCATAAATGTAACAGGACACTCTCGGTTTTCTAACGGAACGCGTTGTAAAACTTTTGCACTATTACTCGCCCACCTTTTGAGTATAAAGCCACCGGAATTAAACATCTCTAAAAGTTCATCTTGTAACCGAGATATCTGTGACAATGAACTACAAGAATATAGAATGTCATCCATGTACACGCCCTCGCGCACAACCTTTGCAGCGAGTGGGAAACGTTCTTCCTCGTCATAGGCTAACTGTAAGAGGGTGCGGATAGCTAAGAACGGTGAGCAACTTAAGCCGTAAGTGACAGTTTTTAATTCATAAACGTCAATGGCATCGTTAGGCGAATGACGATACAAAATATGTTGATAACATCTATCTGACTGATTCAGTTTAATTGCCCGATACATTTTGCATACGTCACAAATCAAACAATATTCAAACAACCTAAAATTCAATATTATAGCCCCAATATCTCGATACAGATTAGGCCCGGTCAATAGAATATCATTAAGCGAAACGTTCGTGGACGTTTTAGCCGAGGCATCGAATACCACACGCAAAGGAGTAGTGGAACTACTGGGCTTAAGTATACTGTGATGAGGTATCACATATTTGCTCGGGGTGTCCCCCGAATAAAGCTCCATGTGCCCTAGATTTTCATATTCGCACATGAACTCTGAATAGGCTTGTCGTAATACAGGTGAACGATTCAACTTGCGCTCGGTGAACAAGAGTCGCCGCTCGGCTGCCGCTCGTGACGCGCCCAACGGAGGCGGGTCTGGTATGAATGGTAACAGCACTGAATAGGTACCATCCTCAGTACGACTATAACGAGCCACGAAAATGTCTTCCGCTAATTGTTCCAAAGGATTAATCGAGGGTTTGCTTGGCAATTCTTCGATTTCCCAAAACTTACGCAACGTTTGATCTAAAGACTCTTGTTCATCAAATGAGACTGATAAATTATAATTTTTTAAATTGTCCTTATCATTGCTATAAAGTTTACCACTTACAACAAACCCGAAAGCGGTATCGATCACGCTTGGTATATCCGATGAAATAATATAAGGTTTATCCTTAATTAGTTCCGAAACTATATCATTGCCCAATAGTATATCGATACGCGAACGCTTATAAAATAATGGATCAGCTAAATTAAAATTCTTATATTTATTAATAACGTCCGAGTGGAATCGAACGTTAGGCATATCAGCAGATACCTTAGTCACTACGACCATGTTCAGTGTAAAACTAGGTAGGTCAGTGTGTAGGGACCTTAATGTGCATGTAATCATGCCGTGATTTTTTACAGCCTCTCCACCGAGACCATAAATATTAAACGAACACTTCTTTCGAGGTAAGCCCAAACGTTGAGCACACTCAGTTGTAATAAATGAGCTCTGAGCTCCAGAGTCAATAACTGCACGGCAGTATTGAAGCTGGCCGCTACTATCAATTACTAACACGCGCGCCGTTCCCAATACAACACCGTAACCCGAGTGAGCGTTATTGGAATGAAGCGTATCTATCGTATAACGCTCTGAGTCACTCATAGCCTGAGACGAGACGAGTGCTTGTTGCACTTGCGAGTCAGAGCACAATGGACGGGTGGATGTTGGCACGAGCGTGTCGCTCACTGGCTCCCTATGCAATAGATAATGATGTAGTGACGCACATACACCACAAGACATCTCACTTTTACAAATTGAGGTATCATGATTTCCTTTTAGGCAATTATGACACAATTTTAAGGTATTGACACGGTCAATCCTTTTATCTACGGTCAATTTACGAAATTGATCGCACCTATAAATCATGTGATTTTGATTGCAATGCGCGCAAATTATTTTTTTATTTTTATTATAATTTGACACATTAGTATTTAAAACTGTCTTTGAATAACTTTTGTAGTGGTTATTATTGTTGCCTTTGTAATTGTTACATATAGACTTATTTCTTGATTGTAACGACATCGTACTATTCGATGAATGTTCGAGTACTTTAACTTGTTTATTTACAAAACTAATTAATTCCGAAAAAGATGGAAGTGAATTTTGATCCCGATTTTCTTCAAAAAGCCTCCTAGTATGCGCATCCAACCCACGTAAGGCTAAATGACAAAATAAATAGTCATGTAAATTTTTAATTTTTAATGCCTCGATGGCTTTAAAAGAGTGATCGAATGTTTCGATAAATAAAGTAAGATTTGCGGTAGTGTCTTTATTTAACGGCGTAAAGTTTATCATTTTGTCGATGTACCTACCCACGAGTATTCGATCATCTTGATATTTATTACATAAACTTTGCCATACGACAGTATAATTAGCGGCTGTTATGGGCAATTTTTTAACAATGTTTAATGCCGAACCTTTAACACATGAAAGCAAATAGTGAAACTTATCTATTTCATCGAAATCTCGATTGTGGACAAGTGATACAAATGTATCGTAGAATGTGGTCCACTTCTCAATATCACCATCGAATTCAAATAAACGTAATTTAGGTAATGACGGCCTTACATCACTCCTATCTTTCCTACTGAGGGATGCCTGCTCGTCCGGTTTTAATCTTAAATATTGCAACCTACATGCCTTATAAAGTTCATCAAATGTATCTAATTCTCGCGTTGACAATCTTGTCTCCGGTTTTAATGATATATCTATTTCAATAATATTTAACACTGTTTCTTCAAACTTTGAGCGGACACTTTCTAATTCGGAATAATCGGCTAAGAAATTCTGAATTTGTGTGGGATCATTTATTTGGGATCTCGCGATATCGAAAACCTTTTGTAATTTAGCAAATAGGTATTCCTTTTTAAAAATAAGTGTTTGCCTTTTTATTTGTAATTTATCCGACATTATGAACAAATTACAAAATTAATACTTTATAAACGCACCGCGAGCAATGGACATCCAGGTAAAAAAGAGGCAAATTAAATAAGGGATATTAAATTAATTAAATGCGTAGTTTTACTCAAATATATGACGTCCACGGGACGCGAATTAAGGGTAGAAAATTATTATTCGAAGATCACTAATTCGAATATATGCGGCTCGAAGGCCAGAAATGTGGCGGATTGGGATTATTTTACTAGATATAGTGGACTGTATTGAGAATCTAAATCCCCTGAAACGTTCAGTTACCGCAGTCACAAAATCACACCAAAAACAGCAATAAACTACTCACGGTCTTACTAGCCAGCCTCCCAAGATCAGCAAACGTTGACAGCTCCTGGTAGCTTCTTCTACACGGTAGAATACACTAGCAATTAGATTGTACACGGTACACTCTGGAGTAGTCCCTTTTTAAAGTTTTTGGAGAGATGTTCACATCACGAACACAAAGAGAATGTGTATGGCTTGTCTCGCCTCCTACCCTCCTCTTCTCTTTTTTTTAACTCCACAGATTATTACAACGCATATTACGTCGCAATGTTGCCACTAGGTGTGACCGGCGCTCCGATCGTAGCAGATCATTGTGCCTCGGTATAAATTTTGTGAGTTGCGGTTTATTACTGAACAACCATAAACCAGAAAAAAAAGTACAATACATAATGTAACAAATGAATACTTACCAGTTGTAGATCCTCTGAAATCTCGTTCAGCGATAATTGCTGTAAACAATAACAGAAACTAGTAAAATATTGTTTTTACAATAATTTTTTTTTATAGGATAAGGGTGACAAACGAGCACACAGTCCACCTGATGGTAAGTGGTTGCTGCGGCCCATAGACATCTACATCTATCCTCTATTACAAATCAAAATGTAGATGCGTTGTCACCCGTGAGGACTAAGATGGAATGCCTCAATATGGAATATTATAAGTTCAAAATTAAAAAGAAACGTCTATTAATATTACTTAACACTACAGGTTTATATTGCAATAACCGGTCAAATTTGCAGAAAAGGTTTATTATAAGTAATATAGGCAAATGGTGTCCTGTCCTTTTTATCTTTTAAATTCAAAATGCGTGGTAATGCATTATTTTAACTGATTTTACTGCGCACGCACGCATTCGTAAAGGTTGATCGGTAGGCAAAAACGTTGTGGGCCACAATAAATCACATTCAATTTGGGATAATTTCAAATAAAAGTTAGAAGCCTTATTTACTCGTATTTTCAAAAACTGCAATAACGGCATATCATTATTATTATATTTGAATTTAACTTTAAAATTTGGTGGCCATTTTGAATAATAATAAAACCTGCAAGGTACAAGATTTGAGTTTAAAACTGTTTTTACACAAAACTGTAAACACAAAATACAAGAGTACACTTAAAAATCAAACATTTTATGACTTAATTGTCTTTACGTTTTTACATTCAGTTCTTAAGTCAGTTCAAATTAATCATGGAGATCTCAAAAATTAGAGTAATTTTGACGTGGTTTTAACGTAGCAGAGACACTTCTCGATATCAATGTTTCGTTTGGAAAGAATACGACTAATGATCGCACCGAGCGTTTTTGGTTTAATAGCTTTCGTAGAAGAAACATCGACTTAAGGAATGAATCACAAAGACCAGATACCAAGTTAAATAACGACGAATAAAAAGTAATGGTGAAAGCCGATCCTTTTCAAACAACCAAGGAATTAACGTCATGATTTGATGTTAGCTTACCCAAATTATTGCCTCATTTGCACCAAATTAGATACCGATTTAAACGCTTTGAAACTTGTCTTTCTTTGAAGGAATTTTGGATATTTATGACGTATGATGAAAAGTGGATACTCCATGATAATCTCAAGCGAAAAACACAATATCTGTACCCAATTCAAATTTACATATATGTAAATATTAAATAGTTATTTAAATACTTTAATTTTAAATTTGAATTGATAGTAAAACTCTATTTGAATAAATAGTAAGTTCAAACCGTTTTCGTCTTCGCCGAAGGGATTGTAGTCATCGTAGTTTACGAGATCGGGGTCTTGAGCTTGCGGTAGTTCGTTGAGATCCTCGCGCGCGGCTTCGGTTAGGTCTTTGCAGGCTACTGGTAACACCAGCAGCGCCAAGCAGGCGGCCTTGGCTTGCCACGTCATCCTGCATTATAAGGACTCGATGAAAAGGAATGAATGAATGAAAATTAAGGTTGCCATATTGCAAAATTTTTAAAATATTATTAGTAACGCTTTTAAAGTTACTAATAGTCCAGTGAACCGTTTCAAGTAAATATGCTTGTGTTAGGTGCGGTTTATGATTATATTCGAATAGCGTATTCGAACCTGTTACCTTTTAAGTATGCTGTACCTGTATACTTACCGTAACCACAGGGCTTAGTAATTGTGATTATCTCGGATTTTTTAATCTTTGATTTTTATAAAAACGTTACCCCCACAGTAGGGTTTTCTATTTTATTTTTACAAACATAAATTGCACAAGGAACCATACAAACGTCCGTACCGGGATTCGAACCTACTCAACTCATTGCTAAACCACTGCGAAAAAGAGCCGTCAATATAATTAAATTAAGTTATAATTTTTAAAGCAATTTTAAAACAAGAAGCTGATTTGCTAATACTAACATTATCTGCTGCACAGAATATAAAATATTGAACGGTACTACCGATGTATGTATACACAAATTATTTTGTAATATAGCAGTGATAGTATTAGATTTTAAGAAAACATAAACAACACGCATTGGTCATTAACTGTTATGATCATAGTAAAAACACTGGATCATAATTATAAAAATATTGTATTGACATCGGTCCTTGATACGAGCACAAATTTTCAAGTCAATTGGCCGTTTACAAGTTGGTGAAAATCAAATTAAAAGATTACGTTACATAAAATAGATATATAGATGAACTCGAAAATAATAAAAGTGTGGTAAAATGAGCTTACAGGCCCAATTACATCCTATAAAAGTCCACTGCTGAACATAGGTCTCTCACATAGATTACCTCATAGGTAGAATTTTGCCATAGTTGCCACGCTTGGCAGGTGGATTGGCAACTACAGTTTTTTATAGCTGTTATTAGGAAGACGCTGCTGCTCATTTCTTGACTTGTTTCCCTCTGTCGCCTCTCCCACGGGACGAATTTCGGTAGCGGACATTCTTACACCGCCGCCACACACAGGCCACTTGATGGTAATTCTACTGCAGCCCATGGACACTTGCAAACAACTTCAAATAGAGCAAACCACAGATGGCCCCAGGTTGTATGCTTACCAAATGTTAGAATTCTAACTTACGGAATCAATAATAATTTAAAATTAAAAATTTTGTACAACCGACTTCAATATAAATTATTAAGAATAACTCAAAAAGTATTGGTCAGACCTTGAACAAATTTATATGGAACCACATATGAAGCATCAGCTTTCAAGTAAAACAAGAATCATTGAAATCGGTTCACCCAGTAAAAAGTTATGAGGTAACACACTAAAAAAAACATACACTTGAATTGAGTACCGTCTCCTTTTTGAAGTCGGTAGAAAATAGGATTTATTTGAATTAAATCGTATGAAATAGCGTTACAGAGATTTTTTACGAGATATCGTATTTATGAAAATTTACTCATTTAAACTGATTTATAAATAACTTATATTTATTATTATTATAATATGATCATACAAGAACGGCTTTCTAGATGTTTCCAAACAATTCTGATTACTTTTATCGTGGTAGAGCCATGCTGCAACCATGTTATGGTTGTAGCGCGAATGCGTAGGCTCGACCGGGGACGGAATACCAGATAGAATATCATAGAATACCATAGAAAAAAAAAAAGAAAATTACAAATGCGTGAAAGTAAGCGTGAATGTAGAAAAGACGAAGTCTTACAGTAAACGAGGCATTACATCTTATTCCTCAGGGGAGACAAGGCATCTGCATTTTGATTCTTAAACTCGAGGGGAGATGCATCACTTACCGTCAGACGGTCTGTGTGCTCGTTTTTCACCCTTTAAAAAATCTTCATAAAATCTATAAAAAAACTTCATAAGATGCTACAAAAGTTCATTGAGCTTCATTAACTATTAATACATTCGTTACAAACGCTGCTTGTTTAAATATGAAAGTGATCTCACTCTGCATACCGAAGTAGGTCACAACTCTCGTTAAATTCCAGTAAAGTTTATATACAATTTGTCATCATTCATCTCTATTACTGCCTTTCAAAGTCCCTCCCCATAGATTGCCTACGAAGGGGTAACTTGCCATAGCTTACACGCTTAACAGGCGCGTTCGTAACCACAGTTTTTTTTTTAAATTTTCTAACTGCTATCAGTAAAACGCTACTGCCCAATTCCCAGTTTGAATCCCTCTGTTACCACTTACGACACCGACGGGTGTCGTGGGTGTCATAAGTGGTAACAACAGATATAAAATGTCGTAAATTCTTACACCGCCACCCGCAGGTATTTTTTTTAATGAAAATACATCTTTTCATGTCAATTTGTAGTGATACGAACTAATTAATAGAATCAGGCGTTACTTTGCGGAAATCCATTATATAAAAGCTTTTAAATAAATTTACTTCGCAAATATCCGCGTTATAATATAAAGTGATGTATCTTACCTAGTATGAAGAGCACCTCCCGCCCTCCCTCAATTGCGTGCACTATCCCCGTCACCACTAATCCCAGCACCGCTACTCCCAACAACACTACACTAGGCAAGACACACCACTAACGACAATACGACACGTGTTTCGCCTCTACACGAGGCATCCTCAGGTGATATAGACTCTACGGTGGCTAACTCTTAACGGTTAGCCACCGTACCGTTATTTAAAAGCTTTTATGTGATACGAACTGTTTCCTACGGACTTCAAGCAGGAGGAGGTACTCAATTCGACTGTATGTTTTTTTATGTGTGTTACCTCATAACTTATTTGTCGTTGAACCGATTTCGATGATTCTTTTCTTATTTGAAAGCTGGTGCTTCACACATGGTCCCATATAAATTTGATCAAGGTCTGATTAATAGTTTTTAAGTTATTTTTAATAACTTATATTGAAGTCGGTTGTATATAATTTAAAATTTAAAATTATAACCAATCTGGTCATTGTTTTGTTTTTTGCCCAGCTTGCAGTCCTAGCTAATATTATAGATTAAAATTGTAGACTCAAAAAGCCTTGAATGAGGTAATGTAGAAGAATAGATGCAACAGTCAAATAATTTACTGTTCTTTTCCCAGCCCTTAAACTAACGAATTGTAAATTGTGACATAGAAAAATGGTTAAAGAAAATATGGACAAAGTTAAATGAGCTTAATCCCAGACATTACATATTATATTTCTTTTTTTTTTAAATTTACCCCCACACTAGGATTTTCTCCTGTGTCCTGGAGGCAGTTTACTAACATAATTGCACGAGGGAAAACAATTATTCGCCCGGAACAATTATTTGCAAGCCATACAAAATACTTGTTCCGTGCGGAATTCGAACCCGCGGCCCCCAGCTCATCAACTAGTTGCTAAGCCGCTGCGCCACGGAGCCGTCCTTTCTAGCTGGTAGGACTATTTTTATGTTTAGAAGTCCTCCTACCTATTTCTGCCACTACAGTGCATTGTTGCGTTTCGGTCCGCAGGGAATAGAGAGACATTGTAATACGGACTGTGAGACATTCCACCTTGGTCCTCAGAGGTGACATTTAAAGTTGGCTGCTGTTGAATTAATTAGCATCTGGTAAACAGTAAGTTCATTTGTCACTTCATTCCAATAATATATTATAAAGATGCGTCAATTATATTCAAGTAGACAGATTTTAGTATGGAAATGTCTTTCGCAACGTTTTTCAGTATAAATGTACTCTGTGATTAAATTAATTAGAGGCATTCCATCGAAATAGACAAACCAATTGCGATGCAGTAGAGACGTCATCTATACACCAAACCATCCAAGTCGCCCCACTGACCTTTATCCAGTCAACCTATAAACTGACATCTGTCTGCATAGAGATGACAGAGGCAATTGGTGCCGCGATAATTAGTTTTAGCAACCGAGTAGCGTACGCAACAATTTGTCGCCCAATTGTAATCTATGAGGTCGCTGGCCACTTTCGCCTAAAGTGATTTCGGCAACTTTTAATTGTTCCAATTGATATTGATTTTTATGTGTGATTCGCGATTTGCTTGTGACGGATTTTTTTTTGTACCGAGATTTTTGTTCATATGTACGGGCTGATATAATTTACTTGTGAGCGTCTTTGTTCCGAATCTTTTTTTATGTGTTAGTTAGTTAAAGTTACAGTCTATATACGTCCCTCTGCTGGGCACATGCCTCCTCTCATTTTCCAGAGGGTTTTAGGGCAAGTAAGTGTCCGCCGCGCTGCCCCATTGCGCGTTGGCGAACTTCACATGTCTTCGAAATATTCTTTTTTTATTATTTCTCAGACATGCAGGTTTCCTCACGATGTTTTACTTCCAAACACGTACAAAATGACCTCCTTAATGACCGGCAATATGGGTTTTACCGAAATCGGTCACCTGAGGACCTTCTAGCGTATACCACACACGTATGGGGCGAGGCACTCGAGAACAGTGGGGAAACACTTGCTGTTTCCCTTGATGTATCGAAGGCCTTTGACAGAGTTTGGCACGCTAGCCTTTTGGGTAAGCTTTCAGTGTACGGCTTATGGTCTGATTGAATAGGTGAAGGACTTTCTGAATGAATGGTCTCTCCGGGTCGTCATCGATGGCTGCTCATATAATCCTGTGACGACTAACGCCGGTGTTCCTCAGGGGTCCATTCTCTCCGCAAATCTCTTCCTGCTGCATATTATTGATCTGCTTATGCCCGGTATCTATGGGTATGCAGACGATGACACAGTTCTCGAGAGATACCAACCAAATCCTAGCGCCAGTCAGGATCAAATCCAGTCCGAAAGAGAAGCTATGGTAGAGCGTGTTAATCTCACACTACAAGCAGTCTCCGAATGGGGCAATGCCAATATTGTGAAATTCAAAGCCTCCAAAGCACAAGCGTGTCTCTTTATTGCAAAAAGCAGCTCACCTTGGCTCCTTCTTTCCAAAATGTATCACTGGAATATACCAAACGCCTTCAGTTGTTAGGGTTTGAGATATCCTC